TACATTTGGTCACTATACTATATAATAAAACGAAATAATGCGTTCAAAAAGAAATTTCAAGCAAAATTTTAACGTGTCAACTGAAAAGAATATTCGACCAAATTTCCGTTGGATCAAATTTCCGTCAACGAAATTTCATTCTATCCAATTTCCGGATACTGGTAAATTTAGATTACCGTTATCTCATCGTCGTGTGCAAGGACAAATTCCTTTATCTCATCGTCGTGTGCAAGGACAAATTCCTTTATCTCATCGTCGTGTGCAAGGACAAATTCCTTTATCCCTATTGCATAATTATTTTTACATTATTAATTAAAATGCATTTTCTGAATGTAAAAAAATAATTAAAAATAATTAAAAATAATTAAAAATAATGAGCTGACACGTGAATAAACGGTTATTTTTTCTTACGGCGTCACTAACTTTCGAATAACACCACCCACACACACACACACACACACAAACCCCCCCCCCCCGGCTTCTTCACGATCCTCTTCTTTCAGCTTTCGCGTCTAATTGATGGCTATTCCCTTGACCTTACGTTTCCACACATCTCTCATATCACGACTTATTTCCCCTCTCGCCACACCTTTCCATTTCCAAACATCTTTATTACCTACGGCCAGCACCGCATCTCTACGGTCTCGTTGTGACGTCTTGGAATGTGACAATGTCGTAGAATGCAGCCCGCCAGATTGTTAGGTGACCGTATGCAAGGAGGGTGGAGGGGGGCGCGGCGATGTCGTGACTGGCAGACATCAAGGACGGCCATGTTTATCATTTCTAGTAACGTAAACAAGTATGTATCTTCTGGCCAGTTTGTCTGGAATGAAAGTTGAAGGAGCGCCACCTGTATGTAGAGTTTTTATTTGTGTCACAAGCGCTCAAATGTTTGTTGTCGCCGTCTGGTCGAGTGTTGAAGAGGGTATCGTTTCTTTTTCTGTTATTTTCTTAACCGAGTCAAATTTTACACGGACACTGGGGCATACATAATTATCATGGAAATGTAGGAGACACATTTTTGTGCAACATGCATCATATGCCCAAAAATTTGACGTGTTACGTTGGTCGTTGTAATTCACCGAGTTAACGTTGGACTAAATCTGAGGACGGCTGCCACGGAGTCTTTTTGGTGTTTATTATTATAGTTGAATTGAATTAGGGTTCAGGTTAGGCATAGGGATCGATTTAGGGTTCAGGTGAGGCATAGGGATCGATTTAGGGTTCAGGTGAGGCATAGGGATCGATTTAGGGATACATTCGTCCTCGTAATTTACCTAACTTTATACTGCTTTGCTGCGCTGCTGTGTGATATAAAAAATCATTTAAGAGAAAACTATTTCAAACAAATATTCTTTTAAAATGTATAACACATTTCAGTTCATGGTCATTCTCCTCCTACCTTCTTGTACTGTACATTAACAAATCTAAATCTATTACTTACAGACACTTCCTGTTTTATTTGTGAAAAGGTAAAAAAAAAAAATATTGGATTACAACTACCAAAGTGAACAGTGAATACTTTGTTTTTTACTGTCTGTGTGAGGTTTGCGAATCAAGGACAGTAATCACAGGACAGTTGTGTGCTAGTTACGCAGTATGATCCATGGTTAAAGAAGGAAGGATTACGTCCCCTAAGCCACCACAAACAGGGATTTAAATAGCTCAGCTTGTCAACAAATAGAAGATTGTTCCTGGTACTGGTACTGACAAGGAGCTTCCAGTTTGGGAGTGGGGCACTTCTCTTGTAAAGGAGCTTCCAGTTTGGGAGTGGGGCACTTCTCTTGTAAAGGAGCTTCCAGTTTGGGAGTGGGGCACTTCTCTTGTAGCAATGGCGTTATTTACATCCTTCATACAAGATTGTTACACCATTCTGCCATTCAATTTATTTATTTCACTCTTCTTCTTCTATACCATATATTAGTATTAGGGCCCACGATCAATTTATTGATCATTTTGTCTTCTATTCATGTCGAGGGGATTTGCAATGTTTCTATGCCTGGTGTTGATGAGGATATTTCACTGGTTACAAAGGCTACTTTGTGAGGGTAGCATGCACTGAGGGATGGGAAGGCCTCTTTGTAACTTGTATTTGTTAAGTTTTTTTATTTGTTTTTTTTTCCCCTGCTTTTGTGTGTGTGTGTGTGGGAGATGTATGTGAAAATATGCTGTTTTTAAATAGTAAATTCTTCATTGACACTTGTATCATTCACTTGTTCATTTGACCATTAAATTATGTTAGGTAATTAATTTCATTTACCTAGAGTCTCATGCAAGTAGAATGTGTAAATATTAACAAACCTAGACTCACAGGCAAGTAGAATGTGTAAATATTAACAAACCTAGACTCACAGGCAAGTAGAATGTGTAAATATTAACAAACCTAGACTCACGGGCAAGTAGAATGTGTAAATATTAACAAACCTAGACTCACAGGCAAGTAGAATGTGTAAATATTAACAAACCTAGACTCACAGGCAAGTAGAATGTGTATATATTAACAAACCTAGACTCAAAGGCAAGTAGAATGTGTAAATATTAACAACCTAGACTCACAGGCAAGTAGAATGTGTGCATGTTTATCAGTCAGAGATTCATTTACCCAAAAGTCCATTTTGTTGTTGACCTCCACAGCATCAGTCTGCACTCCTTAGATGAAAGTGGGTCGACAAGTGCGTCTGGCTTGATGTTTCACTCTGGACCAGATTCTGCAGGCAACCATCACCATGACGACGACAGCCATTTTGAGGAACTCATTGACTTGAGAGATTCCAAAACAACATCTATTGTTGGAGGGACACCTCTTCTGGCCTTTGGGGAGAACAATAGAAGACAGGATGCTACTGGTAGGTCGGGGGTGGGGGGCCAAAATATTACAAGAAATAATATGTAAACATAAAGATGTTGGTACAGTATTTTTAAAAAATGTCAACTCTTGCATGTTTCCCAAACAATGTGAAATGCGCCATTGGGGACAAAGTCATTGATGGGGCCAGGGACGACACGGGTATAGGCCAAGGCACGTTGTCACTGTTAGGTATTGTGTGATAATTGATGGTGTGACTTCTTACTAATGAAAGATAACCATTAACTAAAATCTGTACCAATGTCAATGGCTCTGGGCAGTACAATGTTAAGGTTGACATGTACTTTTAAAAATGTTCAGGCAGTCCTGCAGCGCAATGGTACAATGAAGTGTCATGTTCCCATTATGTTCCCATTGACCAAAAGCAATTGTCAAATAACTGGTTAAAATAGATTCATCACTCAGCTGTTTTGGGGTGGAGTTTAAAAAAAAGGAATTATAAATGAAGGACTGTGTTTGAGCTATGTGAAGTAATAGTTGGACTACTTATGTGAAAGCTTGAAATGAAAGGTCAGGAAAATGGAAACAGAGCGTTTTGGCGAGACATCTTCAGCAGGTAAAACAACAAACAACAATTAAGTGTCTGTAGTTTGCCGTGTTGTGGGAAAATGGTTAGAGGCCGAAGTGCTATATTATTGACAGAAGTTAAGTTGCCCAAAACAGAAATGTATGCTAGCCAAAAGATTACAGGAAGTAAAAGAGTTTAGGTATCATTTATGTGGATTTAAGATTTTAACTCACACAAAAAAAAAATTAAATATACAAAGGTTTAAAAAAAAAAAGAAAAGAAATACAGGGAAAATGAGGAGTATTTGGTTGATTCCACATGGTGATATGGTGCCATGTGATAGTATTTGGTTGATTCCACATGGTGATATGGTGCCATGTAAGATAGTATTTGGTTGTTTCCTCATGGTGATATGGTGCCATGTGATAGTATTTGGTTGATTCCACATGGTGATATGGTGCCATGTAAGATAGTATTTGGTTGATTCCACATGGTGATATGGTGCCATGTGAGACAGTATTTGGTTGATTCCTCATGGCGATATGGTGCCATGTGAGACAGTATTTGGTTGATTCCACATGGTGATATGGTGCCATGTGAGATAGTATTTGGTTGATTCCACATGGTGATATGGTGCAGGGAATCTGAGTTAGAGAAAACCCTGAGTAAAAAAGCTGAACCGCCAAGTTGGTGAAGAACAGATAAACATAACATCAATTAAAAATTGCTTGTCTTTTGCTAATCCAACACACAAAATATAAATAGGTTTTAAAAAAAAAACAGGCAGAGTCAAAGAAAATAGGAGTGGTTTATTATGTAACAAATAATGAGAAATAAAAAGAGTTGTTGATTTAGGCTTCATTCACTGAATCATACCATTTCCAGCAGAGATTAGAAATTATTATATGGTTTTGTTTTCATAGTCTATCATTTGCAGCATAGATTAGAAAGAATTGTATGAAGGTTTTGTTTACGTAGTCAATCATTTGCAGCTTAGGGGACAGAAACATACTCATTTTAAATGCAATTTTAACATTTTTATTTCCACAGAATCTCTCTCATGACCTTTGGCCGGCCATGATCTAGTTTCTCAAGTATCTCACCACACTGGTGGTCGTGTGGCATAGTCGGGTCATGTGGTACACAAACAAGTGGTCATGTCACACTGTCTGTAACCTTAAAGCTCCACTTTCTTGGCTGGGTGGCCGCATCTTTGTGCTGGGCCCCCCGCTATTTCTTCACATTGTACTTCTGACATTTCATCTTGACGCACTGTCATCAGTGCTGGACTCTTCATCTCATTCACACCATCACAAGTGGAAGATTCATTCAAGCTGGGTTGATAATGATTATCATTTACGACTATGTTAAAGAAAACAATACGTGGCCACTTTAATCCATATGGACATGTACTAAGTAACAAGTGTGTAACATTTTTTGTTTTGTACAAATCTTTGAGACATATTTTTTTCTCTCTTGGCTTGTGATTTTTGTCAGTCAGTCACATACAAGCTTGTTTATGGCCCCTATGTGATGTGAAAATAATTTGTATTTCTTCATTTTTTAAATTAAATAATTTCCTATGAAAACAATATAGCCTTTCATTAAAGTTAAAGACTTAAAAAATAAAGTGATTATGTGACATAATTTTTTTAAAACCTTTATATAATTCTACTTATTGAAATGGAAGATTCCCAAGACATTCAAGACACCAACGGCAACGGGGATTTTTTAATCAATTTTGAAGATCCGGTGTCAGATTATAGCAATTTGTCACAAACCTTCATTGCCTGTCATCAAACGACAGATGATAACATGCCTGTCCATGGCCACATATCTTCGTCAATCCTTGCTCCATCAACGTCACAGACCATTGGTGATGTCAACAGCAATGTTGCCCTCGGTAACATAACTATCAACGCTGGAGATTCAACAACCGTGCCTCGTGAATCTGGAATCATTCTTTTGGGCAGAGGAAACAGTTTCAGCTTGGGCAGGTCGGAGGCCATCGTGTTGAATAACACAAGGCAGAAAAGACAGGCCAACAATCTTGAGGGTGTTATTAATTCTAGGACTGCTAACATTGTTGAGGGAAACACTGATTTTAACGGGTCTCACATTGTTGAGGGAAACGCCAACCTAAGCGGGTCTCATGGCCCTGCTCCTCCAACAATTTCGAATGGTGAACGACAAGTACCGAAACCAAATGGGGTTCAAAATGCAACATCTGCTGGTCATTTCGATGAACTGGAAATGCTGTGGCGCAAGGTCGAGTCCATCATGGCTGCCAAACAAGGAGTTGTCCAGCAGGTGTTGGGTGAGTTTGGCATAGGTGGGGCTGGAGGAGGGGGAGAGAAGGATGAGCAGAGAGTGACCGAGGAGGAAAGTGTGTGGAAGGTGCTGCAAGACAATTTTCAAGTTTGAATTTTTTTTTAGAAATATGGGAAAAAAAGATCATTCCAATTTGTTTTGTTGCTGCAGACTAAAAAAATATGGTTGTTGCTGCAGACTATACCTAAAATGTGTTGTTGCTGATGCATTGACAAAAGCCTGGTATTTTTAAAGTTTCAGTTAAGAATTAAATGTAAAATGTAATTTACTGTAAAGACTATTTACCAGTACTTGGCACAAATTCAATATGAGGAAGAAGGGGGAAAAAAGTGGGTGGGGGGTGTTTTTAAAGGTGAATGATGGGGAAACAAAATAAGCTTGTATAGTACTACTAATGTTGTTCTGTACCGAGAATGAACAGTAGACAGGTCAAGTGCATAATGTTGCCTGTGCATTTCATCATTTCATTCGCAGAGTTGTGTATTTAAACATTATTACTCTTTTTGTTTGTTCCATCCACATCCTCCCCAGATTTAGATGTATACATACAATTTTCATCAAATATTTATTGGCCAATGATGTTGTATTATTAAAGTCTTAAAAGTTTTTTAAAAATTAAAAAAAAAAATAATAATAAAAATTTTGAAATCTTTAAAATAAATTTGACAAGGAATGAAATGTTAACGTTTTTCTCAACCTGTACTTTGTGAACCTATATCTTAAGCTGCATTGTAAATTATTAACTAAAGTATCAAACATATTTATCATAACAAACCTTGTGGAGAAATGTGTATACTGATTCAATTAGATATTTATAACCAGCCACAAACAGTATATATAAAGCAATCAATTCAAGTTGTTTTTTTTTTAGATAAATCTTTACAATCATTTTATAAAAGCTGAAGCAATCAACATTCAAAGGGAATTTAAGACTTATGAAAAGAAAATTTGACCGGAGCAGTTGTCCTTCCCCGAAGAGTTCTCTAAGGCTTTGTCAGATTATTTAAAAAATTAAAATTTTTCAAATGCGAGGAATTCATGTATTGGTAATGCTGGACTTGCACTATTAATTAGTTGATTGGTATAAACTAACTTTGCTTTCAGTGCTAAAATTGTTGTAGTTGAAAATTATGATTTTGTGTCTTGGGTAATTCGTCTTTATTAACTTAAGGAACAAACCTCAGACTGACATATGTAACTGTGTGTAACAAATTATAAATAGATTTAACCCTGTGCTCTGTTCAGAAGTTGATCTTAAATGTGCTGGCTTATTGGGGATGACTGCATTGCCAGAATATTTTTAAGAATTTGCTTTTTCAAGTAGTTAGTCAAAATAAAACATTTTTGTAACTCTAGAAATTCTATTAAAACTACATTTCAAATATTTAAATTTATTGGATGGTCAGCTATGTATGAAACTGAATGACTAAAATAGGTGTTTTTAAAAAATTCAATGGTGAGCAAAGTATATCTGAGGAAGTTTGATCCTTGTACATGACTGCTGGGTAAAAGAAAGGTGAAAGGTTAGTTTTAGTGCCTACTGTGATTTGTACAAAGTTGTTCCATGTGACCTTCTAGCTCTGCTGTATTATGTGACTTATATCTCTTTAAGGGTACAAAGATTGACAGTTCTTTTCATGATCCTCAAATGCTGCCAGTTTGGTTAATTTAAGGAAAATCATATCACTATATCAGTGTTATAATCCCAATTTGTGATCTTACTGAGCAAACAATTCTTTTTTTTTTTCTCTGATAAAAAAATTTGATTGCAATACCTGTGCAATTTTTAAAAAAAAACGTTTGCATTGTTGTCAACATTATTTTTACTTTTGTAAGTTTTGAATTAACTTTTTTAAAAAATTGCTTAGCCATCCCATCTTTGCTCAATTTCCATGTTTGCTAGCATCTTTGAAGTCTTTCCTTGAGGGGGGGAAAAACAATTCCATGTGAGTCTAGTCTCTTTTTTTTTTTTTGCAGCCACCAAATTTATTTCCCAAATTAATACTAGTGATTAATTAATGTCTGAGCTTGTGTGATGTACAACTTTTAAATCTGTAAATGATCAGCTATTTATTTAGCATGTTTTGTAAGTTGAAGACTGTGGGGGAAAAAAAGCTTGTTTTGATTAATGAATAAAATGTTCCTCAGCAAAGCTGGAAGGATTTGTTTTATTTTTGTGACCAGGTTAAAGTGTATTTATGTTTGTGTGTATTTCATATACATCATAAAACAATGAAATCTTTTAAAATATTGACAACATGCTTTATTTTTATTTCAGAAAAAAATAATGCAAATAACAATAATTTCAACACTCAAAAAGATGAATGGGATGGACAAGCAAAAATTCTAAGCAATTTAAGAAACCTTTTTAAACCCATTACAAATGTAACCCCTTTCACAAAAAACACTATTACACATACATAACTCAAGTAAAAGATATTTTTGCATTTGATTTCTTTGTCAAAAAACGCAGCTGATTTTGATCTTATTTATTTTATATTTGGTACTGCCTAACAACACAAGTTACTGATCCTGAATTTAGGAGAATGTGGTTTCGAAACACAAAAGTAATGTTGAATGTGATGCAAGGCTTGATGACTAAGATAATCTTAATTTTAACAGTAGAGTGTGATCAATCAACTTCAAGAATAATAAAAATCTATGAAATATTTACACAAATAGCAACTTTGATGCTTAAACATGTTATGAGGATTTAACAATTTATAAATTTAATGGACTGTGCCCCAAAAAAATTTAAAGTTAGTAATAATTTTAAAAAAAAACAGTACCAGGTAACCTAAAAAAATGTGAAGGAAATGTCTTAATAATTTTCATAGCATTAGCATACTTTAAACCAAATGAGAATTTTTAATGGAATTTTAATCCACTCTAAAACTCCATGGTGATTATGATATGTCTAAACTAGACTTACATTTATTGACCTTTTAGAATCATGGTTGTAAAAAGTAATGATTAAAAAAAAAACAATGAACTTTAACTTAAGCCCATGAAACCAGTTGGATAAATTAAACAAGAAATAACATGGTTTCTCATTCATAAAGTCTCAAAAATAATGCAATGAGTAGAACTGATTAAGGACTATGAAAATAAAAAAAAAACACTTCTTAGCATACATCAATTAAAATTTACTTGTTGACTCTTAGAAACTGGCATTGAAAGGAAAAATACAATTAGCCTCATATTTCAAGGGGCTTTTGATAAACAATTTCACCAAGAACAATCAAGAGGGCATTCAGAGCTTAAAAACATGGCATTTCTATAATTGTATTGTTTATCAAACATTTACCTAAAATACATTCTGATGATTTATGATAAACACCCAGTTCAATTTCCTGACATTGCCAAAAAATGTTGACATTAAAAAATAAGTTACTCCTCTAACTTAATATTATTCCTTAACGAGTATGAATGAAGACTTGAGAATTCTTTGAAGAATGCAGGAAATTCTTTTAACAAATTGTGGATATTTATTAAAAAAATGTTGGCACAAAAAAAAACCCCATCTGCTACTGCTTTTTTAAAACTATTATTTTACAAATACACCAGTACCTTCAACAAGACTGTCCCTGTGCTTAAGGGAAGTGGAGGAGGAAAAGGGTGCCCTAACTTAAAAAAGATATATGAAATGCCAAACTGGAGTTGGTTTTCATATTTTAACAAGTTGAAATTTAGTGGGCCTACAATACTTTCATCAGTAATACAATATATTATTTTATTCATTGACATCTCTCATTGACCCTCAAGTGGTAAAAAAAAAATGCTTTCAAAAGAAAAAAACAATTTCACTTTTGGAATTTTATAATCACTTTTTTTAACTATGAGACTTAAGTGAGTGTCGCATAAAAAAAAAAAAATTTTAAATCATAATCTCAAGAAAAAAAAGACATTTATTAACCTCATGTCTCCGCGGTTTTTTGACAATGTATGTACAGTACTAACCGAGTGACTTGAACTATTCTAGTCTTCTACTTGATTGGTATCACAAGAAAGCTAAGCTCTTGACTTTGAAGGGACATCTGATTCACTGCTGCTGCTTCCTTCACTATCACTTGATTGTTTTCCCTCTGAGGCAGATGCTTTAGCTCTCATGGACTGGAGGGCTTTTTCTCGTAGTCGTCTTTCAAGTTCCTCACCCTTTTCCTGTTTAAGAGGAAGAAAAATATTCTTAGCGAATGAAATGACTCTTTCCCTACTTCATCCTGTGCCAATGCACTGGTTTTCAAAGTTGGCTTGTGGGAACAAACATCTGATTCTGCGTAGCTACCTTAAATCTTTATTTTGTTATATTTGCACTTGATCCACATTGTTATTGAGCACTTGTTAATAGTTATGAAACACATCTATGACGGGCAGATGGCTATGAGTATGATTAATATGACAATGACTGTGGGGCTCTAAATTGATAAATTGATTTCTGCATTTAGACCAGAGGTACAAAGCATACTACATCCTGATGTTAAAACAAGAGAAGATATAAGGAGATTTTTACTACAGATTTAGTTGCATATATTTGTTTGTAAGCAATGTGTGAAGAACAATCAACCGAAGAAGCTTCCTGTTTTCAAAAATTGGTATAACATCACTGAAGAGGAGTTTCATCAACTAAGTAGATTTATTAATTTATTATGAATGCAGGATTTATTCAAGCTCTTAACCATGTTCCAGGAAATCCTTAAAATGGCCCATGAGCAAGGCCATTATGACTAGGGTTAGATTCAAGGCCATTTTGAGTTTCCTAAAAGTTTCTGATACTGAAAATAAAGGAGACATGCTCTGTAAAATTGGAACACTCCTATGGATCTTAATGCAAAATACAAAGAACTGTATCAGCATAAAAAATCTAGCAATTAATAAATAATTTATGGAACATAGGGCATCTTTGATAATGTACAAGTTGCTGTAATGTCTGAAATTTTTATGTCGTGGACTGCAACCTGATAAGAACAAAAAAAAAAGTAAATTGCATTACCAAAACAAGGTTAAAATGGTCAGAGTATATGTCCAATGCTTTGTTTGAGATACATTTTTATGTTTCATTAAAGAAAGAAACTGTTTTCAAGAATCTGATATGCATGGTCTCTGTGAAGGACTAGATAATCTCATCGGTGTCTCGGTGATGTAAACAAAATATTACTTATTAAAATGTGCTATTTTGCTTAAATTTTATTATAAATTGATACTTAATTTTATAAGTGATAATTCGATGCAGTTTGCATTTTTTTTTAAAATTGAATTTTTTAGGGCAATATTTCCTTGATTGATACGTTGTCTTCAAATAGCCATAACTTTTTTTATTTACGAGTCTATTCTTTTGAAATTTGAATTTGTGTTTTAGTATTGAATATATACTAATAAAATATCAGTTTATTGCTATAATTTGAAACAATATTTCTCCTTCTTTGTAACAGCTATTTAACAGTTATTTTATATCGACTTTAAAAACAAATTTGTTTGCTTAAAAATAATAATAAATCAATTTTAGCAAATATATTTTGAACAAACACCTAATATCAATTAAAGAGGCTGCAATTACCTTTAAAATGATATATAATTATAATACTCGTAGGTAGCTACAAAATTACAGCCATGAGACACTTTGAATAATAAGTTGTATTCAAGGTCATTAAAAAACACGTAAGAAATCTGCAGTCTTTTGAGAGTTAATGGTGCTACTTTAAAATGGAAATTCTTGGTGCCACGCTTTGTGTGACAGTTAACTAAAATACTTCATGTGTTTATAAACCATTATACTGGACAGTAAGCATCCCACATTATTGACAATATATCCCCACCACTGGAATGACCAGAAATATTTTAAGTTAATTGTTCATTTAATTGTCTCCAAATGGTTTTACTGTGTATGAAATAAAAATAAGTGTCAATATGAAAAATATAACAAGCGACAACCATAATGCTCGTCAACAACCATAATGCTCGTCTTGCAGTCGTCTTATTTCTCTAACACAGCCACCTAAATACTTTAATGATCAAAGTTTTATGAATAAATTTGCTACTATTCTAATAATGCTCTGGTTTACCTGGAATTCACTGCTTTCCTTCCTGTGCTTGTGTTTCTTATGTTTTTTGTGCCTCTTGTGTCTCTTGTCTTTCTTCTTCTTCTTTTTCTTGGAACCATCATCAGAATCAGATTCCTAACAAAAAAATCAGAGATGAAAAAAACACAATAGTAACTGTACAGGTTGAAAAAAAACAACAACTTATCTGCTTTGCTAACTTTCAATATTAAAAATAATAGTCGAGACGTTGCAGTTTCAGTCTATTTTAATTTATACGTTCACAATAATATCCAAAAGAAGATATATATGATGGCAGTGTCACAGATGAGATGGTATTGTGAGGGTATGGCCCATATTTATGGTCACCTAGCAAGTGGTATGGTGTGATTAATACGGGGCCGCTCCTCTCTGTGATGGTTCTCTTGTAGGGCGTTGAGAAGTATGACAAAGAAAACACAGAACACTAATAAATGACCTAGCAACTCCTCAGTAATAGTTATAATAAAGAAATGTATTGATCCATATAATATGATTTCAGTAATGTCTCTTTTCTAACTGTTAACACTTGGTTGTCTATCCCTAAGTCTATCTTTCAATACCTAGTACCGCTGCACCCACAACTTCATAATCAGAGTCCACGAATCTCTAACTCTGTCACAAAGAGTTCTCTACCCCCTTAGGTGGTCCAGGAATGCTAGCTATTAACCCATCCATACCCCTCTAATTTCCGGTCAATCAGGAACTTCCGTCGTTAACACCAAAATTTTCACGCCAAGTCTGAAAGGCCCCGAGACATAATATTTTGGAAAGAAACATCCCCCCAATCTAAAAGATGCAAGGCTCTATTAGCCTTACCCCATGCGCCTCCCCAAAATCACCGCAAATTCCAAACACCCCATAACTTACTGAAGAACACTGGAGCTCTGTTGTTAACCCCTGCCCAAGTCATTTGTGACACACAGGAATAAGACATACACCTTGAATCACTACACTCAAATCAAAATCCCAATAATATATTCACATCTCCTTTTACTTTAAAATCTGATGTACAAAATCTTTATGTACAATCATTTTTTTTTTTTTTCATGGCTGTTCAAGTCTAAAACTGTTGCTCCCGCATGACCAAATCAAACACTCTTTATAAGTCTCATAAGTATTATATGCACAAAGAATATAGAATATTTAACTATTTATATTGTCAACCATTAGTGGTTCACACATTCATAATGCTAGTGATATGTGTGACACTAACAAAATCTTTGACCACCTTCACTGTATTTAAGACTCCATTCAATCATGTAATATTGTCAGACACTCAGCATCAGGAAGGACAACAGTGAAATGATACCGTCGAATGGAGATAACAGAACCCTGTTTTCAGCTATAAGACAGGTGGGTAAAAAGGACAAGACTTAACAAACCCTTTTATGGATGCAGACTAGCACGATTTACCAGAAAACAGGGAAAACCTATGACTGATCCAGGAGAGATCACTACACGAATGCTACGAACCCCCTGATGTATGTCTGGCACTTGTAAATACGACAGTTTCAAAATTGAGCCCTCAAAATGTCAAAAGAGAGACCACAATAAGGACAATCGAGGCATATGAGGATTCTGTAGTACAAGTCTACACAGATGGCTCTTACCTCATCGAGACAAAAGGTGGAAATGGCTCACTCATCCAGTACCCAAAAGAGGTATCTCCAACAAAGGAGATTTTGGGGCCAAGTTGCACCAAAAGTACCTTTATCAATGCAGAAATTGCAGCTATTCTAATGGCCTGAAACAAGTGCGCTGCAGACTAGCTAAAAGAAAGCATCTGCCAACCATCGTAGTGTTTACAGACTCATAGCTTGCTCTGGAAGCTGTGAGAAGGGGCTCATTAGACACAAAAATGGTACATTCAGTATTAGACTTTATCCAAGACATAGTCACATGGAGGCAAAGTGGTCCTTCAGTGGATCCCCGGACATGCAGGATTACCCCAAAATGATAGAGCTGACCATCTAGTGAGGCAAGTCTCTGCTCAACCACAATCAAACTGGCCAATGACCCAACTGGAGGGGGTCAAGGCCTAGCTAAAAGACCTCTTCCCAGAGGAGTGGTTAAAGAATAGGGAAAACTGCCAATTAACTTTACTGAAAAATGCCACAACCCAACAGAAAGGGAGATCAATGGCAGTGTTTCAAAAGAGAGCACCAGAGCTTCACCATCCAGATGAGAATAGACCATTGCCCTACTCTGCTATTTGAACAGATTACGTTCTCTTTGAGACCCGAGTTGCTTAACTGCGGACTGGCGCCGGAGACAATGGTGCATTTACCAGCTGAGTGCGCAATATTAACAAGTGGAGGGGTAGGGAACACTCCAGACATCCATGAAGAAAGTCTGATTTACGGCGATGCAAAGCAGATGCGGCATGCCTGTAATGTGCTTGCCTTGGCAATCAATGTGCAATAGCTCTGTCCTATTAAAAAAAATGTAATAATAATATTGTACAGGACAATATGAATCAAATACAAAAAAAACACCACCTAAAAAAGTTTTTCATATAAATTTTACATGCATTTTCATCTATTAAGAGGTTATGTCAATGGGTAAACTTCTCATGAAAACATGTTTCATACTTCCTTTTCCCCTTCAAAAATACATTTTATTTTTTACCGCAAAGGCCTTTGATGGGGGAGTAAAGCCGTAAAAATCTTCTAATAGAGTAAAAACCAGTGTTTCCCAACCCTTTTTGTGCCATGCCCCACCTAAGCCTTGCTAATGTTCGTATGCCGGTATGCCCCCTACGTATCATATACATAATTTTTAATATTCCAAAATAGGGTTGTTCACTGAAGAAACTTAAATGATAAAAAGAAATCACTAGGAAATGGGTCAGGAAACATTATTATTATGGAAGCAGTTATTTTTTATTTCAATTAATAAAAAAGAGAATTGGGTTAGGTTCCAATTTAGTTAGCTTCAGTCTCAAGCCTCCCCGTTGTGTTATATCCAGCAGATTGCTTTCTTTTTTTTTTTTTTGCAGCAAATTATCTATGGCACTAAATCCACATTCAGCTAAATATAAAGATGGAAATGGTAGCAATAGTTTTCTTGAACATTTGGTTGAATTTGGATAGCTGATTTCCGTTACCTCACAAAGTCATGCCATCGCCCCTTTTATATAAAGCCCCTTTTATATAAAGTAGTGTTAGCTGACTCATCATTTTGCATTACCGCGAATTCTTTTTGATATTGCATATTTGAAATATCAGATAAATCCACTAACATTGGCTGCATCATCCAAGTTGGCAAATCAATTTGTGTAAAATCATAAAATCTTTCTTTTAAATTGGCCGATAGAATTTTAAGATGATCGACAATAAAAAGTATAGCGGTATCAGTCACTTCACATTTTTTTGAGCTAATGAAACTTTTAAAAATGTTTGTTGTAAATATTTTTCTAACATAATTCAATAAATGTAATGAAACCAAATATCTTTGCGTCTGTGTGGACACGAGTTTTATTTGTTCCCTGAAGTTGGTTATTTAACATATTTTGTTGTTCAAAGATATCGGCTATATAAACTCACATTGGGAAACACTGGGTTAAACTGCATTACCTTTCTTGAATCTTCGGCACCAACAAGTATTTTGAAAAACAGATTTTTGGGGGTTGGGTTGAAAATTTGTGTTGTCATTGGCAAAGAGTTTATGTGCCAAGTTTCAGTCAGCTCGACATGATGATGAAAAGTTCTGAAGATTTTGCCACAAACAAAGAAACGAACAAAAGTGAAGTTATTATAAAGGATTTAAAAAGAAATTACCTCTGAGCCACTGCCACTCTCTGAATGCAGAGTTTTTTCTGAAATTTCTTTTCTTTCCTTTTCCTCACGAGCATTACGTGAAGGGCTTGCACTTCGGTTGCGGGCCTTTTCATCATCATCTCTTCCTCTTCTGCTTTCACTGCGTTTCTCAGACTCTCTATCTTCCCTTGGCTTAGGTTTGTCTCCACTACCCTTTGACAAACTGCTAGATGGAGACTTTGCCCTTTTAGGTAGAATAATTCTCTCCTCTTCTCGTGAATCTCTTGGTCTGGATCTTTGTACAGGACTTGATGACCCTCTCTGTCTTTTAACAGCCGAGGAATCTCTTGGCAGAGATGGACTACGACTCCTGCTCCACTTGCTGCCTACACGGCTATCCTTTTTATTGTCAATTTTATCTTTTGGTTTCCTGGTTTCATCATCATCACCTGAACTACTCCCACTGCTGCTTTCTGATGCAGATGGTTGTCTACGAGCTGTCTTTGGACGTGGACTAATTGACCGCTGTTTTGATAATGATTTTTTGGGAGGAGATCTACGAGGTGAGATAATTTTACCCTTGCCTTTAGGAGAAGGTAAGGGGGATGTATTTCTACCCCTACTTTTAGGTGAAGGTAAGGGAGATGGGTTTCTCCCGCGAGGTCTCGGTGATGGCGACACATTTCTTCCATGCCCCTTAGGAGAAGGTGAATGTTTCCTCTCCCTCCTGGGGGAAGAGCGAATGTCTTTCCTGTCCTTACGAGACTCACTTGAGCGTGAAATTTCAATGTCTTTTTTAGTCCTGGGTGGAGGTGAAACTGCCCTTGTCCTGCTCCCCCTATTAGGACTTCGAGATGGCAGTCGACCTGCTCTACTGCCTTTTTCAATGGAACTTCGTATTTTTGAGCTCTCAGGGGTGACTGACCTCCTCTTTTTAGGCGGTGGCGATAGAATTTTAGATTTCTTTTTAGGTGGTGAAGGCGACCCTGACTCATCAGAATCATCTTCACTCTCAGAAGAGGATGATGAGGATTCCTTCTTAACTGGAATCTTCTTGGGTGGTGGGGAACGAGATCTTTTTGCTTCTTTAGATCTATTTTGTTTTCCCCTTGGCACTGGTGAAGTCTCCCTATCGGATTCACCAGAGCTTTCATCTTCTGATTCAGATTTTGGAGGTGAGGGCTTCTTTTTGGCTTTAACCGGTGGCGGCGATACAGATGCAGGTGAGTGCAGTCTCTTTTTAGGGGAGGGTGAAGCTGAATATTTGGCACCCTTTGGCGGTGGTGGTGTCGTCTGACGCTTAACAGGGGAAACAGATATTCTTTTTCTTCGGGGAGGTGATGGTGAACGACGACGCCTATATTAAAGAAAAGAGAAAATCAAGCGTTACCATTTATATTGCAACATCTTACTTGCTAATTATTCATCATTTTGTAATAATTTTTTTGTTGGAATATCATCTGCATCATCAGTAATTTTGTAAACTGAACCTTCTGACAAATACAAGAACCCTTCTTCAGAGATGCCTAGAGAAATACAAGATTAGTGCATACAATGGATAGAATCATGAACTAGCATTTGGTACCTGGGCGGGGAATATCTTGGTGGTGGAGACCTACGCCTGGGTGATGGACTTCTCCTGTAAACGACCAAAATTGGAAAGGAAATCTGTTATGAACGTTACGATTTTTTTCTATGTGTTTATAAAAAGGCTTATAAGCAACAAGTTTATTTGCAATATCTACAAATGAACATCACCCTCACCTTCCCCTTCGCATAGGTGGAGAAAATCTCCTAGGACTGCGCCGTCTTGGCTCCGGGGTTTTGTGGCGGCGGACAAATGGTGAAGGAGTTCTCCTTCCATCCTCCCGTCCTCTCCCTTAGTTGAATGAAAATTATAGATAAAATCATGTTAAAATGGAAGTAACATGTCCACAAATGATAAATATCACGGCTAAGTAATAATGCTGTTCCAGTGATACATGATTGTTCTCGCAATATCCCTACTGTTCAAGTGATACATGACTGTTCTCACAATATCCCTACTGTTCAAGTGATACATGACTGTTATCACAATATCCCTATGTGTTTACCATTGACTGCAGGTGCATTAGTTCCTTCTTCCTCACTAGAGTCCCCTGATGATGAACTTGATGAATCTTTACCACTTTCATCATCGTGTTTCCTGTAGTTTCTGCGCTTTTGGATTCCAGCCTTTTCAGGAGAAGAAGCTTCATTCTGGAAAAAAGGTAAATTGACAAAATTGAAGTCATTTCTCAAACAAAATTGAAATAGTCTTCAGGCATATTTCCAATTCTGCTTACTAAATTCATATGAACAAAACCAAGAGTACTGAGAGACCTTATTAAAAACACGAAAGTGAATCAACATTCTTTATTGGGTAAGTCACCAATAAAAGCTTTGTATTTTTAATGTTTCTATAATATGGCTAATTCATCACAGTTGACAACAATATATCATAATCACAATGTTTTTATTTACAACCCACCTTTTGCTTTTCATCTTCTGAACTACTAGAACTATCATCAGAACTTGACCTATGGGCAAAATTTTGCATGATTAGAATTTACATTAATAAATAATGAATAATCAATGAAACTTTGATTTCTGTAACACTAATGTAATGATTGTAAAAGTAAAGATAAAATATTTATATATTTTTGATGTGTTTATCAAAAATAGTAATCTTTTTGGCTGTTACACTGTGTTCAATAGGTGCTCAAAATAAAAGTCCCAGATGTAAGCACTAATTGGGATTCTTATATGATGCATTTCTTGCATGCATGTTTTGTCAAGTATTTTTTAGTAGATGGGAAGTACATGCATTGCCACAGTCATTGCTTCTCAGCTTTTTCTCCAGTAATGAAATGATTTTTGATGAATGGAAGGAAAGTAATTGAGTCTAAATCACTTCTTTAACCACTGGTAGCCTAATAGAAGTTTTCAGTTGGGTTGATTTGTTCGTTAAAATAAGACCCCAAAAACTACATGTATTTTATGTTATTTAGTAATTAGATCAGATTTTTTTAGATTGTGTACCAAAGTAATAAATAGAGAAGAATCAGTCACCTAGCTTTCTTTTTAGTAGCCACACTTCTACGAGGTGAAGAGCGGCGTCTGGGTGGTGGAGACGGTGATCTGCGGGGTGGACTTCTACGTTTTGGTGGAGAACGGCGTCTTGGTGAAGGTGATCTCCTCCTTGGGGAGGGTGATCTTCGTCTCGGGGATCTTGATCTGCGAGGTGAACGTGACCTTCTTCTCATAGAAGGTGGAGAATAACGACTGCGACCAAATCCTGGCCTGGGATAAAAAAATACATTTTTAATACAATTTTACATATAGAGAACACAACAAAAATAAATAATTCACTTCAAAATCGAGTCATAAAATAGCTCTATATTTAAATAAAGCTTTACCGAGGCCGGCTGATAGGTGGTCTGCTCCTATCTGGTGACCGTGACCTTCCTCTGTGACGCCTGTCTCCAGAACGAGAGCGTCGTTTTCTATCTCTATCTTTATCCCTGCTGTCTCTTTTGTTGTCTGGTGACCTGTCTCTTGTTTTATTATCTTTCTCTTTATCTGCTGTTTCTCTTGTTTGCCCATCTTCTTTAGCATCATTTTTGCCATCTCTATAATAAGTAACAATTATTTTTATTAACATGACAAGTCAAGTTGCACTTTTTTTTTACTAAAAGAACAATAAGACTAAGCATTTCAAAGTGGATCTATTAGAATTTCAATGAGAGAGAACAGTGAAAAGAGATTAAATACAAATAAACATGTCCTGTCTAACCCTGAGCTCTTGCCATCCTGTTCCCCATCTGCTTTAGCTTCAAGCTTAATTTCATTCTTTCTGTCAGAATCATTTGCTGTGGCATCACCATGATCAGTAATTGGCTTGGATTCTCTTTTTTCCTCTCGATCCTTGCTTTTACTGTGAAAAGTTACCAGAGAATGCCTCTAAATAACTGCCCTTTTAGGCATAATTCTTACACAAAATAAAATATTAAACAAACATATTTATTTTGGCAGGCAGTGTCACTGTGTCCTCTACAAGAATACTGAAAGAACATGTTAATTCTATGCATATACAATTGCACAAATGCTGTCAATCCTATTTGCTAATATTATGTCCAATTTATTCTGTTTCATTCTTGCTTATAGATAATGCTTATAGATAACCATACAAAAAAGTATTCAATGATTATTATTTTGTAAATGTTATTTTAAAAAACTCAGCAAAGATATACATTGGTTCTAAAACCATATGTTTTGTTCTTTTATTGCACATAATGCCTACAGAACCAAAGCCTTCCCTGTTCATATTCCTTGAATCAGGACAAAAACAGATCAGGATTATAAAATGCATCTTTGCTGTAACTCTCATAAAGTCCATTTTTAAAAAAAATTGCAGCAGTGGAAAGTACATTTTTTATCGTATCATCTCACCAAATGTTTAAAAAAAATTCATTTAAAGATCAGGTTGTCTTGTAAAATTTGGAAACCCTGACTTACGCTGACTTCATCAACCAGATTTAGAGGAGAAAAATATTAGGAATTACACAGAGCTTTTTAACAGCAATGCCCACTTTTACAGAGTCATTATGCAGAGCCTTTTACTTTCACAGAGTCATTATGCAGAGCTTTTAACAGAACCACTTTCACAAAGTCATTTCACAAAGCTTTTAACAGTACCACTTTCACACAGTCTGGTAATATAAAATTTCATTTACCCCCTGTCTGGGGATCTACTGCCCCTCTCTTGCTTTTCCACTTCTCTTCTCTCCCTTGCCAGCTGTTCCTTTATCTGTTCTTCTTTTTTCTTTACAACTTCTTTTAGTCTTTCTTGCTCCTCCTACAATAAAGAATTAAGCACCATCACATAAAATAAACCTTTCTGACTCAAACTTCAACTTTATCAACAATGACTAAAAAAGGTATCAAAAAAAAAATAAGGTGACACCAATAAAGTATTGAAAAAATAATAAGGTGTACATAAATAAATAGATCTTACCTGTCTTTGTTTAATTTCATTCTTCTTTTGTTCTAAAAACTGATTTGGTATTCCAGTAACATTTTCTTGAGCACTACACAAGTGGTCCCACAGTTCACTGAGAAATGTTCTAGCGTTCTTGCCATTGAGGAAACCAGTCAGGTTGATTTGCATTTCTTTGGCATCTGGGTGCTGCAGATACATGTTGGGAAGATACGATGCATAAGAAGATAACCCTCAAGTATTCACAACAGTAAGTTAAGATTCGTTTTCAAATTAAACAAATGGCTTAAATTAAAAATCCATGCACATCATTGTTACCACTCTTTTAAAACAACTCAGTTCTTCTAATGATGACCTAATCTGTTCATCATCATTTTGTTAAAGGATATTTGCAATAATACTGTTAATGAGGTAGCTAATTATAAAAATTGCACCATATTTCAGGTGGTTTTTGCAAACCATATGACTTGACATTTTTTTTAAATGCTGGCAATTGATTAATGGAATGACTTTTTATTTGAACTTACTTCTGCCTTTTTTTAAAAAAATAAATAAATAAGCACTGCAAAAGAGCTGTTAAAAAAAAAACATTTCCCCCGTCAATCCAGGAAAAAATATACAAAGTACCCAAACACTATTTTTCAGGTACCGATATATATTATAAAACATAAATATCACATCCAAAATAAACTGATGATCTGCAGACGTTGCTTCCATGTATGATTTCTCTCTTAAAAATGCATTTGCTGCTACAAAAATAAGATTTGTTTAAGGCTGCCTCAATGGCCAGAGCTTCACTTGCTTTCCATGGTCTAGCCCAGACAACCCCTCACACCTGCCCTCATGGCAAACGATTAGGCTGCGTGTTCCGACACCACACAGGACAGAACTGCTATAACAAGGCAGCTGTCCTGGGTCAACCTAGGCATCCAAGGAAATCAAATGTCCGATATCTCTGCAAAAAAGATTTTCCCCATCAGTAACACCAGCACACAAAAAAAGCTAACTTGCATTCAAACAGATTCACACACTTTTATAACTAGACAAAAAATGTTAGATTTAAGCGAGAAATGTACCAATAAATATTTTTGTCTCTATAAAAATACATATACATTTTCCTTTTTGTTATTCCACAATCTTGAGTTTGAAGATTCCCTCAGTATCTGAGATGTTCTAACAGCTTTCACGCAATCGAGGTCAACCTACATAGCTCTTCAGTAGGCACAGAAGCCTTGAAATCGGTCCAGATAAATGGAGTCCTGATTTTTAACACAAGTCATTACTTCACAAGTAATAAGTTAACACCTAGGACCACAGCGGCCACTTGGTTCCTATCAGTCTGTCAATATCATATTGCTGCTTCTGGAACTTAGCATTTCAAGACAGGTACATTAATCTGAGGGTCGCATCAAACATAAACAAGCAACCCAAATGTAAATTTTGGTACTCACTGACAGGTCAAATACTTAACTGAGAACTGAATAGATGCAAGAGAAACTTGGATAGTTACTTAATTCTCATCTGCATTGGGACATTTTAATATTCAAAGAAAGAATACTTCTGTAAGGCAGTACCTGTCTTGTGTTTTTAATGCAGCAGACGCTAAACTAGACCGACACAAAACCAAATGGATAGATAATAATGATACAAACCCACCATTGAGCGGAGCAGATGAATTATCTCTGTGGCAGCTGATAAGAGTATCTAGCTACCAAAGCATTGAGAAAACTGGTATCATCCGCATCTGTGCCCTGTAGTGAGTGACTATGCTTGAAGGCCATTTTGTTTATAGTGCTTCTCTGATCATAAGAGGAAATAGTCAACAAATGAGTATACATTCAACACTATCCGTTTTATCAACGACTTTTGTTGAAATTCTTCTATTGAGCAGGTAACCCATTTATTGCAGTTTTCACCTTTTTTTTTTTATTTTAAAAATATCACTTTAGATTTTTTTCATCCAATATACCCTTAAGGCAAGGGTGTTTTTTTTTTAAATCGATAATGCTAATAATTATCTGACACGAATCCTTAAAAGGTTTAAAAACTATTTTGGGGTTTTTCCTTTCGTGGAAGGGTTATAGAGAAGCACTTTTGATACAAACTGGTACTGAACAAGGCACCAAGACAAGAATAAATATTCAACACTATTAATGCTTTCACACCCATACCTTGAAAAAAAAAATTGTATGAAATATGTAGAAATAAAATAAACCGAATTCAGATGACCAGAGTCCCTACCCTTTCTTCAAGCTGATTGTAGACAAATTCTACAACAACATCATCCTCTAATCCAAGTAGATCCGTGAGACGTTGTGCAATCCATGGTTTGAGGCTGTCCACATTAACTTTTGTCATATCAACCTGAAAAATTGAATACATTAGTCAAAGCTTGACAAAATACTTTGGGCATATGTTTAATAAATCAATGCTTTCCAAAATTTGTTTTAAAAAAAGATAAAAGCAGAAAGGACTACTCTGCTATGTCTTACTGTCCTGTAAAGAAGCCTTTCTTTGAAATATCCAATCGGACATTAACACTTTGCTATGTAAAGGTGATTTTTTATTACTGGTCCAGCTCTGTGTCAAAGAACGGGCAGACGAAGACCTTTTTCTTACAAAGTGTAAAATGGAAATTAATTTTTGATACATCATTAAAGATATAGTTAAAAATTCCAGTGATGTTAATATTCCAGTTTGACAATTTTATGTTTTCATTTTCAATGCCTTTTGCTACTTTTACAAATAATAATCGGTAAGTTTTTTTTATAATTTGTGGAAAACTGCTTAGTTCCATAAAGATCTTGCGGGGTGGATTAAAGGATTTCGCAGACTGCATTTGGCCAACAGGCTTCCCACACCGGGCCTAAAATAACTAGTCTTTTTGAAGTACAAAAAATAATTTTAAAAAAGGATGTGAAGCAATTAGAAGTAAACTTTCTAAGATATTAAACTTAAAATAACTATATTTTTTAAGAATATGTATACATCTTTTTTATTTCCATTGTGCTCAGAAGAAAGAAAAATCTCAACTGCCAATTATTTTATGATAGGAGGACACATTTTGGATTCAATATGCAGAAGTATTTCAACAAAACTTACTTTTCGCTCCAGGCCCTCAGCAAATTTCATTGTTTTCATAAGCTTTTTCTTTTTGTCAGAAAACCGAGTATCCTGTTGGGCAGTGGTGCCCTGAAACAAAACAAATAACAACATTATTTTTCTGTAAAAAAAGTTTGGTTGCTTCTTTAATAAAAATGTTTGACAGATCAAAACCAAGCATAAAGGGCTGAAAACTTCCTACAAAATTAAACCCAAATTATAGACTTAATAATACCACACTGAATAATTAAACATGTGTTTATTGATGTCCAGGGACATGGGTGATGTTCATTTGAGAATATCTAAGTTGCTTATTTAGGAACTAGCCCTGTCCATAATAAGCTTGCCAGACAATGCTCAAATAAACATACAGGGACAGAAAAAGGGAGATAGTATTTACAGTAATAAAATCTCAGTTGTTGGAATGAACTATGATGCCTACCGCATAATTATGCATCTTGTCTTCCGCTGGAGTAACTCCTTCGTCAGAATTAAAACCCAACTAACACCAATCAACAGCTGATAGGGCCTCAAAACTGAAGCAAAAAATACCAAGTTGCAGATTAGAAGGTGGAAAGCTTACACTTTTTAACAGTTGACAATTGTAATAGTACAGTGTTATAATTTAACTATTGCCCCTGGACATACGTAACATTTACTATTAGCAGTTTCAAATTAATCAAATTCATCAAACAAGAATAATTTTCAGTGTGCTATAATTCAGCATATTTTGGCTTAGTGAAGGGCATCTTTTGCTAATCTCATTGGACTTTTTCTTTACAATATTAAAGTTTAGTTGTTCATGCATGCTCACATAATTTTTAGTCTAAAAGTTAATCATTTTTAAATTTCATTTTGAGCTGCAATTTTTGTTAACAAGTTTAGTTATCTTCATTTAAGCAGTCCATGATATACAACCCATTATAAAAATGAAAGTGTCAACTGATTTAACATGAAAGTAAAGGATAAATTGTACAAGTTGGAGCAACAATTATAAGCTACATTTATATTGTACACAAATGCCACTTAAGTTTAAAAAGTACTGTAATTTGAAAAAATTACAAATTACATTTAAGCACTTTTTTAAAACCCTGCACTTAAACTGCATAAAATGAACTAAACCTACTTATCAACAACTACTAACAGTTTTAAATATACTGATATGTTTGACAGGTGAATCACAGGGCTGATACAAAATATTTATTACATTTCCAACTGCTAGAAAAATACAATGATTAAAATATAGAGGGTAGTAGCAGGAGGTGATAATGATTCTTAGGTGCTCCTTAATAAGAAAAATAATTGAAAAAAAAGGTTGATGTCAATTGAATTTAGAGCAACTTCACCCTTACATTAATAAGGCAGAAATGACAGTACAATCTTGCTGTTGGAAATGTACCTCCACAGAAAAAGATCTACAGTAAACACGTGTTTAATTTGTGAGTTTGACTCCTGCAGCTGTTTCAAAAATGTACAAAAATAAAGCAAACTTTTAGCAACTGACTTTGCTAGAAATACATTATTTATGCTTGTTTTTCTCTAACATTTGTAAACTAAGAACTATTTTATTCGATGGGGAATGGAAAAGTAGGAGATGGGATATATATATATATATAAATATATTGTTACCCTTGCTGCATGCATCATTATCTTTTTTTCATCCCATGGAATTTAATTAAGTCAGACCAACAGCATGAAAAAAACTCAATGAAATGAGTTAATTAACCCTCCAGTATATAAAGGGCTTGTCAAGGACAAGACAATGATAATAACTGAACACTTTAGTTAATAAACCTCATACATGATCTAACTATGCCTATGTGCTATTCTATTTCTATACTATAGTCCTTTGTATCTTGAAGTGTGCACACTGTGGTGAACCAAGAGCCGCAGCTTCCCCAAAAGAACACCACAAAATATTACATTTCCATTACTTTTATATCCATTTTCAATTCAATGTGACATCTAACAGATGGTGCAAACTAGTAAAGTCAGTAGTATCTAAATGGCGCTTTTTTGTGTTTTCTTTATTTTATCTCATTTTCAATATTTTAAATTCTTTCAAATTATTGTGTATAATCATCTTTCTGCCCTTCTAAACAAAATAATTTTTGGCTAGTGTGTGTGTGCTTAATATGATTTGGGTAGAGCGCAATGCTTCCTTCCTTACATAGGGATAAGCTTAAATCCGGTTGAACATAGCTTTAAAGGTTCTGACAAAAAAATGTAATTCCAAAAATACAGTTGTGTAGAGCATACTTCAAATTCAAAAAATGAAACCATCAACTAGCTTTTGGACTTTTAATGTGTCCTTATTTACTGCACCACCCCATTGTTTGTACTCTATTCATTTTAAAATTAAATAGGTCTGCTGCTATTACTTTTTAAAAAATAAATTTTAACTATTAAAATATTTCTTTAATACTTATTAATTTATGCTTTTTACAAAAACACTATGAAAATGTGCATTGTATTCAGTAAAATAATTGGATTAATAATAATTTTCAATAATTTACTCGATTTCATTGATGCCTGGACATATATATATGTGTATATATACAGTACATGTTTTTACAATCTGTTAAATACACGTAAATATGACATTTACAGACAAACAAAACATAGGGCAGAGTGTAAATTGAGCAGAGCAGTTATGCCTGAGGACCTGTCAATTACCTGTGATCAGATTCCTGCCCCCCCCCCCGACCTTGTGTAGTCTTAGTTACAAGTTTGTTACTGACGGTATTAATTAGACATTTTGATATTTTTAAGAATACAATTAAGTGTTGTCTGCAAAACTAGAAAGCCCCAAATTTATTGCACATGTGCATAATAATAATAAATAGGCAGTTGATGGGTAAGGCGAGATGCGACCCGAGCATAAATTGCGGTTGAGCACAATGTTTTCCTTCACAGGAAGAATATTTGAAAGAAGCCTTAGCTGTGTAGGACAAATTTTTCTTTTTTTTAAATTATACAGTTTATAGTTATAGAACAAAATTAACAACTAGCTTTAGTAGTTTTTGAGCTAGGCATTTTTAAAAACTTTATGAAAATTTGAGTTTTTTGTTTGTCCCTTTTTACAGCATATTAGGCAAATCGGTAAAGCAGGGAAGAAGACTACTAAAAAATATATGTGGGAAATGGGCATCTGCACAAAAAATCTAAGTTTAAAATTTTTTTTTTTTGTGTTGGTGCTATTTCATGCATAAAAGAATTATATCCCACAATTGCGTTCCTTTTCCGCCCTTTCACTTTGGAGGACATTTAAGCCTAAATTTTAATCTCTTACAATCAGTCAGCTTTGAGAAAATTCTTGGTAAATATAAAGCAACATTCATCATTAAGATATAGTTTTCATATTTAATTTAATATGTCTCTTGGTTGCATATTGATCTACAAGTGTGCCAATTTTCATAGCGCTATGTGTTTTACAAGACACCATGATGGGATGGGTCTGTGTTTGAGCAGTTTATTATGTACATCGCTCTACCCATCTTCAGTTGTATGCCATTACTAGGGGTGTGCCGGATCCGTTTTTTCCAACCGGATCCGGATTTTCTTATGCGAAATCCGCCGGATCCGGATTCCGGTTTCTCCCGGATTCCGGTACTATTGGTAGATACTTCGGTAAGTCAAGGTGGACTACTACTTTTTGTGTATGGGAATTCGCAATCGGCGCCAAAAAATCCGAGTTTTTAATTTTCCGATGTGTGTGTCTATTTATTATTAAATTAGTACTTTCGATATATATTTGAGTTCCGTTCCATTTGGATAAGTGTCTTACGAGAGACGCCATGTTTCTACGCGTTCGCAGCAGGTCATGCAGCTCGCTCAACCTAATTTCGCCATGGGGTTGGCCACGCCCCCCTTTTTAATGGCGGAAGTTGACGATACTTAGGAAATATTAATTTATTATCACTATTTACATCAAAATAATTGATAACTTGTGTTTCAGAATGCATTTAAAGACATTTAAACTGGAATGTTTTAATTTGAGCTTTAACAACCCGGTAGAATCCATATTATAAATGATCAGAATTTACCGTGTGCAACACGTTGTCATTGGCAACCATTCACAGCCACTTGCATAACTGTATCGTAGTACTACCTCAGAGTTTCATTCATAAGAGTTTGCCGTGTGCAAAAACTATTAAACCATTGGTCAGGGAAAGCTTTAATTAATTATTCATGTGCCAAAGTTGAAAGTTTAAACTAAGTCTAAACAGTATTTTAGTGATAAGGCAGGGAATGCGTTGCCTTATATAAACTATATAGTCATTGCGCATGACGGGATTGGTGGAATGAGATCACAGAATGTGGAGATGCAGTCCATGTTAAAAAATGACAAACCAAGTCGTACTTTAAAAATTCATAACTTTAAAACTACAACAGCTAAAAATATGATTTTGGTGTTATAATTCTTTAAAAAATTACATCTTTTCAACTATGCCATTGGTTTATTTTTACAAAAAGTTTAAATTTTCTTATCAAAGTCCCTACACTATTGGCCACTATTAGCGGTGCTGACTCTAGCCTCTGGTATGTTCGGAATATTAAACATTAAACAAGCTCAACGCTCGAAACAATCGATTAATGTATCGTGATCGTGTGAAATTCGGGAAAGAGAATTACTTTTATTTCAGATTATGATCCGGTGAGTCACAAAATCTGGCAAATTCCGAAATCCGGTATATTCCGGATTCCGGAATCCGGTTGTTCCGGATACATGTAAATCCGGCGGAACCGGATTTCACCGGATAGTGCAAAATCCGGCGGAACCGGATTCCGGACCGGGGTCCGGCACACCCCTAGCCATTACACCCTCTTTTTTTAATGGCAGAAGTTGCAGATACTTCAGAAATATTCAATTATTACCACTATTTATGTCAAAATATTTGGAAAACTTGTGTTTTAGAGTGAACTATAAATTATCATAATTTGCTGTGTGCAAAACGTCATGGGTAACCATTCACAGTCACTATCAGAATGTGCTATACTACTATATTCTATAGTATTATTATTATTCTCATAGTTTCATTTAAAAGAGATTGCCATGTGCAAAAGCTTTTAAATCTTTGGTCAGGGAAAGGTTTAATTAATTATTCATGTGCCAAAATTGAAAGTTAATAATTAGTATCCCCAAAACCAGTATTATTTTTATGGGGATGCCTTGCCTTACATGGACTATATATATAATGGACGCTAGACTTGGTACCCGGGTGCGAATGGCGGCGCTACGAGTATGGGTCCATTTTGACTCAGTTCTATTTGGATGTCATTTGTGGTAGTTTATTTTAGTTAAAATGAAGAATTAAGTTTAAAAACATATAGTCCAATTATCTTTCACTTGATACCTCATTTAGTCTTAAAATCCCTAAAATAAAATTGTAAATAGTTTTAATCCCAACCTCTCACTTCTGGTACCCGGGTACAAATAGCCATTTTGTTTATTTTTACGTGATGTAACATAGTACTGCTATTACAATATTAACACTAAAAAATAAAAATTGCTTTTTGTGAGTTAATTTTTCTTTCTTTTTTTTTTTAAATTTGTATTTTATTCAGCGAAATAATGGAATCATCATTACAATAATTAACAGAGTGCAGAGGTTGAATGAATATTAACTCAATATTTGTTAAAATATCAACCAATGAACATTCGTTATTCAAATCAGATTCATTGACGATATGAGGACCTTTTTGTTTTACATATTTTTACATGCAGATATACCATCAAGATTTTATTGCAGATAAACAAAATACAGTGCTGAGTGCAAAACGGAGCATACTGACATCAGTATCATTGTAGTATTTTAGGCTATCACTCAGATATTTAATATGCCAGAAGGCCAGAGTAGAGAGAGAACACTGCGCAGTATCAGTGTAGTCAGTATGTTTATTTTTAAATAATGGTTATGTGTAATCCAATTACAGACATTTATTAGCATTAGGAATTTCCATAGATTAAGTTGCAATCTGGTGACAACAGCGTGTTGTCAGCAAAAGGGTGAAAACAGGAAGCATTGACTGTATTGCACATGGGCCTGGGCTTTGCCACAATTACATCTTAAGCCCTGGGAATCCCTACTCGACTCCCCCACCCATAAACTTCGTAATAAATAGCCCCAGCTCTTGATAGGGCTCAAATTCAACTGGCTCCTACCATGCACAGCAATTTGAGTGATGAAATAAGTTTCTAAATTTGTGAAGCCATTTATGAATAACCCTAACTAGGCGTAAGTATACTTTAGTAATAGAAGTGGCCAACAGCTCAGTGACAAAGACTCAAGTTCAAGACTAACATTCAAATTTGATTCATGATTTCATGGAACACATCACAAAATGTACCAAGCCCATAACTCTGATCAATTAATGGAGAAAGTGTTTATTATTTTTTAAAAATTTAAAAATTGGATAGATAAGATGGATCTGATGGACATTCTTATTCCAGGGTTTGCCGTCAGGGTGCTAACTCTTCACATTCATTAGTAATTAGCTCAGGGCCAGGGCCCAGGGTTTTAGTAATTTAAAATTTAGCCTAGTCCAAGAATTTTTCAATTTAAATAAAATTAGTGACTTACAGAAAAGCATACCTATTTTTTTTTTCAAGTTATGATAGCTTTCTTTAAACAATGACAGGACAACAATAAGCCTTAATGTCAACAGCTATAACATTTTTTCAAAACAAACGCGTGCAAAATGATTAGCTTCCTCCCCTCAGTCTCAGCCCCAGTACGGCCCATTGCCCCCATGAAACGCCATCGCAGGCATTCACTTCAGATGCAAGTTAGCCCAGGCTTTCCAGCTTTTACAATTTAAAAGGAAAAACGCAACACTCAAATGAAACTGACATATCAAAAGGAAGGAATAATGCATGGTAGAAATATGAAAACTCATATTATGCTTAAAATAACTTTCTTTGAGCGATGTGTTATTATAAATTTGTTACAAACCCGAAAAAATCCGGCGTTCGACATGTTGGTTAACAAACAATCTCGTAATTTCTCGAAGTCTCGTGTGTATTATCGCGTTACTTACGTTATTTCTCGCGTCACGTTCTAAAAGACTAAGAGACGCCGTGAAAGAATCGCAAAGTAGTTTTAAAATTTAAAAAAAGAACGCCGGCAATAAAATTAATACATTCTTAATTTTTATAAGAAAAAGTCACCTCTCTGTCTTTTTGAAATCCGCCCTATATACTGACAGAATTATCAGACTTTTTAATATTTAGTCGTTTTTTTTTTTTTGCACCCTTCGTCTAAATTAAATAGTAACTACGAAAATGTTTGTGAGAATAATGACGCTGGTTGGGGGGGGTGGGGGGTTGGGAGCGTGGTTAAGCCATGTGACGTCCCCCCAAAAAAGGTGAAACAATTTTTTTTTTCATTCTTTGCGTTTGCGAATGTTTGATTGTTCTTTATTCAAAGTATTCAGTTTTAAACTACGATCACCGTCATGATTACTGAGCGAAACAGATGGTGAGAGTGGGCTGGGTTGTAAGCTAAATATTAAACAGCAACATGTATGTACGTAAGGAAAAGGCCCCATTGAGCCAGAACTCTTAATGGCTCCCCCTTCCCCCTCTTTTTTTAAGCCCGAATAGTCCCCGCTTGTAAATTCACTCGATTGGTTGTCACATAGTGTGGGGTAGGTTGTGACATAAAGTTGGGTTGATTGTCACATAGTGTGGGGTAGGTTGTCCCATATAGTGTGAGTAAGGTTGTCCCATAGTGTGGGGTAGGTTGTCCCATAGTGTGGGGTAGGTTGTCACATATATTATGAGTTAGGTTGTCACATAGTATGTGGTCACGTTGAACCTAGCTTCAAACACTGTCGTTTAGAATGCTGTAAGAACCTGTCTTATCGCGTGAGCCCCCTTTAGCACTAATTCTCCATCTGTCCGCTTTTACCGTGACGGCGCAGCGAGGCGGTTCAGATCAGCGTTTCCCAAATGTGTAAGTTTGGTGGACCAGGGGACAAGTTTCAACATTGTAGAGGGGCCGGCGCCAGATTCATTCATTCTATTAACTTTTGTTATTTTGACCATAAATATTCATGTTGGGCGGACCGGTGACGTAAGACTTGCGGACCGGTGTCGGTATGTGGGCCACGCACAATTTGGGGGAACCCTGGTATAGATGATGGACTGTCACAAGGTGTGAGGCCTACTGAAGCTTCATATTTGTGGATTTTTAGGGTGTCCTTAGGACACCGGTGGCGTGGTATTCCTGTGGCACCGAAAACGGAGTGCCCTGCTATTGTAATTGTACTCTTGCGATGCAGGCCGATTGACAGACATTAAACCTTAGCTACCTGAACACTACTTGGACAAGAAAATTCTTGTTTGGTGCGATGTGCACCACAAAAATAAAAACCCGCATGCTCAAATGATGTGCAAAAAAAAAAACCAAACAAACAAACAAACAGACAAACACAAATTTTTTATTTTTTTAAATTTTCTTAAAAATGTTCTCCTAAGGAGTTTTCCAGTTTAGCTGTGCATGATTCTGCTCACCACCGTTTGCAATCTGACCTCCGAGGCCCCTCTCTTTTTTTTTTTTTTTAAATTGAAAAAAAAATATATTTTAGATATCGTGGTGATATCAGCTTTCTGGTAACAAATATAAGTTTCTAAGATGACGGAAAATGACGTGTTTGTTTGTATTTTTTTTTTTTTGTTGTTAGATATCGTGGTGATATCAGCTTTCTGGTAACGAATATAAGTTTCTAAGATGACGGAAAATGACGTGTTTGTTTGTATTTTTTTTTTTTTTGTTGTTGTTGTTAAATCAAGAAACCCACTGGCAGGGAATACTGGGGAAGAAAAAGGGGGGGGGATTTTAGATTTTTTTTAGGGATCTTGACGGTATCAGCCTCATGTTCAAACGTTTCTAAGTTGACTGGAAGTAGTTCATTCATTCGTCTTTGTGTGTGTATGTGTGCTAAATCGCGAGATATATCACTACACTTGCTTTTGTAGTATAGATGTTTATACTAATAACTAGATTGTTTTTTTTGGGCTATAAAAAAACACACCAAAAAAACAAAGCAACATTCAAAAAAATATTTAAAAAACACACAAAAACACAGCTCTATAAAAAGTATTTTGAGAAACATGAATATAATCTAGGTTACTAGAGCAGAGGTCCCAGCCCATAGGATGTGACCTGAAATGGGATTGTGAAGGAATTTCTGTGGGGTCAGCAGCTGGAGCAATAGACTTAACATTATCCTATTTAGAAGCCCTTTTGTCCAATTATACTGTGGTAAATATGGTCGTGACCTGAAACCACTGTGTACTAGAGCTACTGAACTCAATAATTCAGCACAGTCATCTAGATTTTCCAGGTCCAGGTTTATAGTATAACGATAACTTGTGGCAATGTGTGACTTGATTTTATTTATTTATTTTTTTTAAAGAAAAGAACATTGTATTCAAATGTATTGTAACAGTTTGTTCTCGGTATTTCACGGTATGGTCGATTTTTCCAGGAAGTCTAGATTTATAAATAGATCGTGCGGGATCCCACTGGAAAATTCATACGGGGGTCGTCAATTATGTCAACAAAATGGGGGGAGGGGGAATATTTGACAAGGGGTGGGGGATTTAGATTCAAGTTTTCTCTAAAAAAATATATATTAAAAAATTAATCTTAAACATTACCTGTTTATTACATTCTTTAACAAATTTAATGAGTGTAAATTAAAATAGTTATATTATATATACCGTTAATTTTTAGGATTTTAACAATACAATTACAATATTTATTTAATGTGTGTCTGTGCACTGCTGATGGCTGGTAAGAATGTTAGCACACTTTGTTAGTGCAAGTGAAGTCAAACGTTGGCCTCTCTTCGACCTTAGATTCTGTTTGTCGCAAATGACTAGGGCGGTATGTTTGCAATCGTGTTTCAGGTATGGAACAATGACAAGGTTCAAGTGTCATGTGCAGTCAAGATAAATGATATTGATAGAGTAGGAATACGATATGTTGAGAATTAGGGGAAAGTAAAGTGGGTAACAATAATAACATCGCTGCTTGACCGGATTTGCAAAATCTGTAACATCTATTTTGCATCACAGTCATGTTGAAGCACCATTTCAACAGCACCGACAATGCATAAGAAATTACCACCTGCTCCTAAAAGGAGATTCACCTAATGCAAGTAGCTGAAAGGAGACAGAGAGATAGCTTATGGCAATTATTGCTCTGGTATATCAGTTCCACAAGAGAAACAATTATAAATCAGCCACCTCGCCCAGTGTTACGATAAAGCAACACCTGGCTACTCCCTGGGAAGATGATATCAGTTATAAACTATACTACAATTAATTGTAAGCTATACTGACAATAATCATATTTCTACTTCCACAAATAATGAAATTTAGTCTCTAACAACCTATTCACTGATTTTGCATTATAAAATTTAAATGTACAAACTTTTTAACTTGTTGATTTAACAAGCTATAATTTCCTGCAATTATGTGTTATTAAAATAGATCATCACAAATTAAAATGTATTTATAAATTTATTTATATTATAATTCATTTTTTTTATTGGAGGGGGGTTATAAAAATGTTGACATAATTACTAGGGTGGGGGGGGGGGCATTGAAAGTTTGACTGCTGTTCACGGGGGGGGCTGTTCACGGGGGGGGGGAGGTTAAAAATTGCTTTAAAATTGTTGACGTAATTAATGGACGCCCCCTAAACGTAGCACTATTGCCATTTAAGTTGCAGTGTTGTAGTTGTAATTTAAAGTCAAATAAATAATACCTGGATCAGTGTTTCATAACCTGGGTTCGGTCGAACCCCAGGGGTTCGGTGAGTCAGTCTCAGGGGTTCGGCGAATTTCCAACAAAAAAAAAAATCAGAAAAAAAATTATATTTTATTTTTCCTATTAAGAAGGGTTCGGTGAATGCGCATCTGAAACTGTGGGTTTCGGTACCTACTAATAGGTTAAGAACCACTGACCGGGATGGTTTGGATTCTCTGCTGGACTCGGTTAATGTCATTGTGATCAAAGTAGGTTATGAGGTTCTGATTGTACCGTAACACTGGTAACAGTGACAGTAAAAAAAAAAAAAATATTGTCTGTCTCAATAAGTCTTATCAGAGGAGACTGCAACAGTTTGACCGGGTGATCTCGGTGTAAAAGCGCTATTGCATATTCATTTGGACAATTGATCCCCTATTTTAAATAAGACTATTAAAAAATTCAGTTACTAAATTATAATTTAAAATTTGACGACGTCCACTTATTTGAACTCACCACTTTGTATATTCACTTTAAAAAAACAAAAAAAAAAAACTGGATCTACTGGAAGTGATTAGTTACGAATATAAACACTGGTTTTAATTGCTGAAAAAATTCTTAAACGTATTTGAATAAATATTAATTTACTTAATAACTGAACTCAAAAAATAAAAAGTATACAATATTATACGTCCTAAATCAACTAGGGGTTTATCCCATACTTTATTTTAACACATACTTGTCACAAGGAATTACACAAGTAATGGTATTATTATTATTATTATATTGGAGTATACTTTGACCTTTTAATTATTTACTGGTAATTCCCCCTTTAATTGAATGGATGTCTAAATGAGGTTAAAAAATTGTCAGTTTGAAAAAAAAAAATCGTATATGCCATAATTAAGTTTAAAATGTAGGATATATTTAAAAAGACATCATATTATATTAATTAAGGTATGATTTTTTTTCGGAAGGATATCGTATAAATATAAAGTATACATTATGGTGGGGCGCCGAATGGCTGTTGGTTGGGTGTGGACCGCACAATACCAATACCAGATCCAAATCCCATCACACAATTAAAACAGAAACAAAAAAGAATGAGTTGTATCACGCTAAACATTTTTAAAAAAATGTATATACATAGGCAATAAGAAAATGAGCTTCAATCATACTGCTAAAATAATATGAAACGTTTAAAATTTAATATCTTTATATATCATATCACACAATCACATCAAATATAATTGAAGGGAAGTAACTCTTAATTGAATTTCTTTTTTTTTTTTTAAAGGAAGCAGTTCTTTTATAAAATTTTGAAACATAAATCTACAAATAATCATATTTAATGAAATCACAACATGCAATTGTTATAAATACTTTTATTATTTGTCTCTGTCAACATTTGATTTCGAAAAGTTATGAAAATTATATAAAAATGGGAAGGAACTCTTCAATGAATTCAAACGTTGGAGACAGGGGAGAAATTCATTTTTAATTTTTATCCCCCTCCCCCCCCCCCAAAAGCTTATGAATTTATAAATAATTTTATTATTTTTCTCTGTCAACATTTAATTTCGAAAAGTTATGAAAATTATATAAAAATGGGAAGGAACTCTTAAATGAATTCAAACGTTGGAGACAGGGGAGAAATTCATTTTTAATTTTTATCCCCCTCCCCCCCCCCCAAAAGCTTATGAATAAATAAAAATTATAAATTAAAAATTATAAAAGAAAATATATAAATTATCATTTCCATCCGACACATATTGATAAGACTTGACTGTCCTGTAATTGTATGCACATCTTCACAATTAATGAAATAAAATCTCAGTCTCAAAGTTTCTTCAAACTTTTTTTAAAACAAAAGAAATCAATTGGACATCAGGGCTGTCTCAATAAATACATGTCTGAAGAAAGAGAATGTCAACGAAAAAAAAATTAAATAAAGGTTTAAAAAAATGTAAAACTCACCTCAGGCTCACTTCAAAGAGATTAAGGAACAATCTAAACACTCTCTTAAATTTAAAAGAAATAAGGCTAAAAATGGTGAGTGCTGTGCAAGATTTAATTAATTATTATATTAATATATTACACAGAGTAAAACAGACACCGTGACGTCACCGCGTGACGTTTGATGACGCTGAGGGTAACAGATGTGCACATGCTGCCACAAAAGCTCCTTCAATTTATTTACGTCAGTTATAAACAATATATATTGTCCATGTATATTGTACATGTATTTTTTACATGTATATTTTATATGAACACTAATAGAATATATTACCCGATGTGACTGGAATAATAAAGGCAGGAATGCTGTGATATTTCCTACCTGCCTTTTGCGAAAACTCATTAGAATTCTTTTTTTTTTTTTTTTAAAGAAAAAAAAAAAAAATTTTTTTAAAATGTTTTTTTTACGTTCCTAACACCATTTTGTTTTGAGAAAAATGTATCTTTTATAAAATTTGTAAAACGTGACTTTAAATTTAAAACAACAAAAATACTCATTAGAATTCTTTTTTTTTTTTTTTTAAAGAAAAAAAAAAGAAATTTTTTTAAAATGATTTTATTACGTTCCTAACACCATTTAGCTTTGAGAAAAATGTATCTGTTATAAAATTTGTAAAACGTGACCTTAAATTTACAACAACAAAAAATTTATATACCTTTTTAAATTAGCTTTTAAGTTTATTATATCTATGTTAATATTTATTTTTTTAATTTTTTTTTCATTAACACTATTTATTATGTAATAAGTCATACTTTGATTGTCTAAGTTCTTCATTCCCTCTTGCTATTCAATAAATAAGGTGGGGGGCCCATTATTTTCAATAATTTTCTATTTAAAAAAATTGCTACTTTTGTAAAGGGAGCTAGCCTTAGTAAAATAATTCGTATGGGGGCGTGAGACTAATCCAATAATTCGTAGGGGTGCGGAGCATAGAAAAGGTTGAGAACCACTGCATGGCAACGAGTCTTAATATTCACTGCTGTTTAAAATGACTGGAGACATTAATACAGACAGGAGCTATGGGACTTAATCAACACTGAATTAGTTGTACGATCGAGATCACTACATGACCCCGTCACACAAGTATAAAGGTCACAGTAAATTTGAGGGGGGGGGGGAATATTTCTAATTTCCAACTAGTCAAATCTATGGATCGTATGTTTAAACCATAAACCGTGAATCCGACTCTCCAGTTTCTTGCTGTCGTTCCACCACACAACACCCTGTCTCTGACACGGCAGTGGGTCGAATATTAATGACTGCTGACATACCGTCTGAGAAAGAAAATTAAAAAAAAGAAGAAGAAGAAGAAGAAGACCTGAGATAAATAAGTGATCGGGATTTCCTTTCGGATCACAGCCCAATCATAAAATATCAATCAATAAAAGGATTGCGTGTGTACGCGGTCCGTCTTTTCAAGTGTCATATTCAGTGGCTGGTTCAGGCCGTGCCCCCAGCGCCACAGCACTAAATCCGTGAGAACAGAATGAGACAGGTGTACGTCTTAGCGTCCTCGATAGTAAATTAATCTTAGGACAGAAAGCTTAGGAAAAAATGATGACGTCATTAGATTTATATTTAATTAGAGATAAAAAAATAGAATAAGATATAGCGTCCATAGACTAAATTAGAGATAACAATTATAGAACAAGTCACTCGACAAAATAAAAGATAAAAATGATAGAACAAGTTATAGCGTCACTAGACTAAGTTAAAGATAACAATCATGAGGAAGTTATAGTGTCACTAGACTAAATCAGAGATGACAGTTATAGTTCAACTTATTACGTCATAATCCTTTGTGGACGTTCGCAACCTTGGTTACAACAGGAAATCACTTTTTTTTTCTTTTTATAGTTTTATTTTAGTAAGGCTGGATTAAATTCAAATATGCGTTTTCTCCATATATTGTTTCTAAAGTGTTTCCGGACTGTGGATAATTTCCAAAGAAGTTTTTCTTGAGTGATCCAGAGACGGTTTCAGTATAAACAATTTTAAAGGGCTCCTAAAGAAATGCAGAGCACATCAACCATAATTATAAAGTGAGATGACATTATCCTATTTATAAATTAATTTTATTCTAATTAATGTAATTTGCCCCCCACCCTCCACCCCCCACCTTTAAAAAAAACAACAAAAAACAAGCATATCCACGTGTTTAAAAAAAAAAAAAAAGAAGAATCCATTTAATTAAATCGTAAACACTTGCTCCCCTTAGTTAAACTTTTGATCACGTCTTCAATGCACTTGGGGAGCGTTCATTGTCAAAACGTCAATGAAACCCCGCTGCCAGCCCGTCTGTCCGCAGTGTGGGTTTTTGAATCCCGATGGAACACAACATGGGAGTTAACACCTTCTGCGTGCCACACTGGTCTGGCCCCGCGTGGAAGCCGTCAGACACCCCTTCTGCCGGCGTTGACAAAAGAACCAGTTCACTACGCGTACGTTACCTCAGTTTAAAACATTAAACAGACCCGATANTTAATTTAATTTGCCCCCCACCCCCCCCCCCCCACCTTTAAAAAAAACAACAAAAAACAAGCATATCCACGTGTTTAAAAAAAAAAAAAAAAGAAGAATCCATTTAATTAAATCGTAAACACTTGCTCCCCTTAGTTAAACTTTTGATCACGTCTTCAATGCACTTGGGGAGCGTTCATTGTCAAAACGTCAATGAAACCCCGCTGCCAGCCCGTCTGTCCGCAGTGTGGGTTTTTGAATCCCGATGGAACACAACATGGGAGTTAACACCTTCTGCGTGCCACACTGGTCTGGCCCCGCGTGGAAGCCGTCAGACACCCCTTCTGCCGGCGTTGACAAAAGAACCAGTTCACTACGCGTACGTTACCTCAGTTTAAAACATTAAACAGACCCGATAAGTTAGTTTGTCCAATGGTCACACACGCCGTGTTCTATAACTCTGTTTCACACATCAGCAACGGGTTACGCCCCCTGTTTTTATTTCTAATCGGTAAAATCACAGACGGATTTCTTTGCTGCCAACATTCTGTGAGTTGCAAATATTTCACTCAATAATTTGGAAGTATTGCATGAACGCGGATTTAACCCCCCAAAAAATGTAAAGAAATTATAGATCTCTGGACGTGAAGAACATGGGAAACTAACGGACTCACCGGACTGTAAGTAGTTCGTTGTTCTTTTGTTGTTCTTTTGTATTTTGATTAATTATATTTAAGGAGAAAAATTCAAGGATAATATCAGGGCTCGCATGCTGCGGGAACGGACGGGAACTTCGTTCCTGTCCTTAAAAATTAAAACAAAAAATAATTCATGAGTGTTTGGGAATCTTGGGGTGTGTTCCCCCCACCCCCCCCCCCCCAACCAGGATCTGCGTCCCTTTGTTCTAACTCCAATGTTGATAACCTGGAACTTCGTTCCTGTCCTTAAAAATTAAAACAAAAAATAATTCATGAGGGTTTGGGAATCTTGGGGGGTGTTCCCCCCCCCCCCCCCCCCCCACCAGGATCTGCGTCCCTTTGTTCTAACTCCAATGTTGATAACCGAGAGGAGAATGGCGTAACTACACTAGGCGTACCAAAACCCGACACGTGCAATGGGCACCTTTGAAGAGGAGCGCAAAATCGGCAATCCGAACTAATAACTTGATACTTTAAAAAAAAAGTTTTTGCTTATAAGTGAGTTTACCTGCATGCTAAAGCGTAACACACTATTCTGCGCACTCTGCCGTCATTGTACACTATACGGTAACGGTAAGGCTACATTATATCATAATAGGTTTCTCAAATAGGGCTGCAATTTCAGTTCTTTCCATTATTTGAAGGTACGCCATTGGTAACAATAAGTGTCAAAATGTCCCACGCCTTTGGTAACGATTAGTGTCAAAATATCTCATTCTTTTGGTAACAATTAGTGTCAAAATGTCCGATGTCTCTGGTAACAATTAGTGCCAAAATGTCCGATGTCTCTGGTAACTATTAGTGCCAAAATGTCCGATGTCTCTGGTAACAATTAGTGCCAAAATGTCCGATGTCTCTGGTAACAATTAGTGCCAAAATGTCCGATGTCTCTGGTAACTATTAGTGCCAAAATGTCCGATGTCTCTGGTAACTATTAGTGCCAAAATGCCGGTTTGGCCTGTAATTTAAAAGTTTATGATAAACTCTGCCAAATGTCAAGTGTCCAACTCCAAATGTACCATTTCATTATGGTTGATGGCAGCACTCTCTGGGTGTCCAATCTACGAGGAGTGTAGGCGACCAACAACACCGACCATGACCTTGTCTTCAAAATATATATATATTTTAAAACACCCTCATATTTAACTTGACTTCAGTGGTGACTATTTGTTTGATTGTCGCGGCTGTTCGTCTTTGAACCCTTAATGTGTCTCGGATGTTCCGAACATCCTTAGCTCTAAAATTGTTTTTTTTTTAAGATGAGTATGGTAGTGCGTTGTGACGTAATACGATTTGACTACATGCTATTGTTTCTTTCTTTAAATTTCGTGATTATTTAAATTGTAAATAAAAAAATAATAATTTATAATAAAAAAAACAACAACACAACTCATAGAAAAATGCGTGCAAAAGACCGGCATCAGAACAAACGAAGAGGTTATGAATTCTACCAGAGTATAGAGTTTAAATGCAAACTTGAAGAAAACGTATGTCTACCGAGGAAAACATGCCGTATTTTTGCAAATAATAGTATGTAGCATCCAGTAACCTCACAGAAACCATATATAACCTTATTATAACCAGGTAGTCAAACCATGGCAATCACTTTAATATAACCAGGTTGTCAAACTATAGGAATCACTTCGAAGATTTTAAATTAATAAACTTTCAAATTTCAGAATGTCAAGAAATAATTTAAAATACAATGAACTGTGTTCGTCATAAAACCTGGCCAAGTCAATGCCTAATTGCCAAGTATGAAGTCTAAAACTCGAAGTATAAAAATCTAATAGTTAAACAGGCTTAATAGTACGAACTTCATTAATCCAAGTATAAAATAAAAAAAATAAAAATATTAATGTCTAAATTCCTAGTTAGCAGTGGCGTAGCTAGGGGGTGCGGACTGGGTGACACCATCAGTGGGGGTGACAAATTGAAAAATTGGATAGTTACAGTGCACACACTGTTCGGTCTAACCAAATTTCATAAAAGAATAACCGATCACTCGCAAATTTTTAACACATGTAACCAATCCAAATGCGTGCTTTATTAATTAAAAGTTCAATGTTGATGCGTCAGAAATTAGGTGAACTTATAATTAAGGAAGAAAAATTCTGAAAAATACAGTGGAACCTCTCATAAAGAGTTGAATTCGTTCCAGATTCTTACTCGTTAAGCGAAACACTCGTTAAACGAAACAATTTTCCCCATACAAATCAATGTAAAATACGATAATGCGTTCCATGCTGAAAAAATAATAATTTTTCAAAAAATTTTATGAACATTTATTCAAATAAAATTACTTATGAATTGTAAAGGAATGTAACAACTTGGATACACTTTAGATATGAAACAAAAAAAGTAAATAAAAATATGAATTTATAACAAATAATTAATCCTTTTTAACTAGAAAACTGTCTAAAGACATTTGCTTTTGCCGACGCTTCAAAATTTGACGAAAATGTGTCACAGCATTAGCATTGAATACATTTGTAGCACGAATAGCCACGCCCACACCTTGTTCTCGCTTTTCAAGGATTTTACGTTTCATTTCAACAGTTATTTTTTCTCTTTTATGATTTTCTTCTTGTGTTTTTTTTTTTCGAAGACATTTTAGCATAGGCTATTACACTTTGCACATTACAAAAATTTCGAATACCGTCTGAATACAAAATTTGTAAAAACTGGTGATCACACACGAAAACAATACGCTAACAGACCAAATGCTAAGCACAGAAAAATGCAATGGTTCTCAACCTTCCTAGTGCCGTGACCCTTTAATACAGTTTCTCGTGTCTTGGCGACCCCCCCCCCCCACCAACCTAATTATATTCTTTGCTACATCATAGCTGTAAGAATATGTGTTTTCAGATAGTCTAAGGCGACCCCTGGGAAAGGGCCGCGCTACCCCCAAAGGGGTCACGACCCACAGATTGAGATCCGCTGGACTAATGCATCGGCGCGGAAATCCCGGCTCACAAATGAATGTCAGGAAAAAGGGACTTCCCCTTTCTGCGTAACTCGTCATGCGAAATATCGCTCGTTAAGGGAGCAACTTCTTCAAATTTTATTTTGCTCGTTATGAGAGGTGCTCGTTATGAGAGGTTCCACTGTAAAGCTTTCCATTGATAACGAATACAATGTGGTCGGGCGATTCTAAGTACCAAAATCTAATCATAAAAAATAAAACATAAAAAACATAAAAAATGACTTTTTGCTCATTTATAGGGTTAACAAAATAATACTTTACAACATTTTCAAATATCTTTTAATAATTCATTTAACTGTTAAAAAAAAAAAAGTAAATTTTATGTAAAAATAACTATAACCTACAATTCTTCCATACCTCCTGAAGTTCAATTAATTTGCTTTTCTTCTTGTCATTGTTATACTGTGGACTTATATGAACAGGAAGAAATCAATCGTGGAAGTCGGGAGTGGGGCAGGCAGTGTTTCTTTCAGAAATTTTCCCGGGGGGGGGGGGGCCTTTAAATTTTGTGGGGGGGGGGGGCGCTGCAAATTTTTCGGGGGGGGGGGGTGGGCTGTGCCAGCAGTTCCAGTTGATTTATTGTTGGACACATTTTTGCCCCGGAGATATAGCTGAAAGAAACCCTGGGTGGTGGGTGGTGGTGACGCCATGAGTGTACTGCACCGGGTGACACCAACCCTAGCTACGCCCCTGCTAGTCAGTACTAATATCTAAATGCCAGTCATTATTATTCAAGTCTTAATTTCAAGGCAGGCCAAAGCCCTACATATGCTGCGGAGCCACAGTGGCACTGGTATTATCTATTTCAAGTAGTAAAGTTTAAACCCTAAGCAGCCAAGTCAACATTTCAAGTACTAAGGTCTAAATTTTAAATAAAAAACATATACAGTTCAGGCGCTCGTGTCTGAGCCTAATACGTCTTAAATGTGTAACGTAAGCACTGGTGGATTACCCAAGAGACAGAGACACGAAAACAGGCACTTGAGACACAGGTAATAAAAAAAAAAGTTCAACCCACTCGCAGTGGCTAGGATTGTCTTACCCCTTGAAACATACCTGGCACAGCTTGACTTATTACCTGGTACAGCTTGACTTATCTGGTTATCTGTGGACCTACAGCACTGCACGTACCTGGTACAGCTGGACTTATCGGTGGACCTACAGCACTGCACATACCTGGTACAGTTTGACTTATCGGTGGACCTACAGCACTGCACATACCTGGTACAGCTGGACTTATCGGTGGACCTACAACAAGACTCACGTATGGAACATCTTGATTTATCTGTGTACCGTAACTAAGTCAACATGACACAGACCTGGTACATCTTGACTTATATGTGTCCTTACAACATTATTATCATCACTATTATTATTATTATTGGGGTCTTATATAGCGTGGTACCCCAGCCTAGGGCTGTACATAAAAATATTAGCCAACATGACCATGGCATTAAAAAATAACATACATTTATGTAATGATAAAAATGGATCTATAACAATACCAACGAAACAAAAACAAATGGATTTTGAACCCACCCACCCCAGAACTTTGACATGTCAAGCCATGGGCGGCACCCAGCAGCAGCGTTTATCGGCCATTGAGGGGATTCAGTAGAGACAGTGGAGTTTACAGACAAGACAAACACGGTACAGCTTGACTTATCTGCGTACCTACAACATGACAAACCTGTCACAGCTTGACTTATCTGCGTACTTACAACATGACAAACCTGGCACAGCTTGACTTATCTGCGTACCTACAACATGACAAACCCGGCACAGCTTGACTTATCTGCGTACCTACAACATGACAAACCTGGCACAGCTTGACTTAAATGTGTACCGTACCTGCAACATGACAACCCTGACACAGCTTGACTTGTGTGTGTACCGTACCCACAACATGACAGCCCTGGCACAGATTGACTTGTGTGTGTACCGTACCCACAACATGACAACCCTGGCACAGCTTGACTTATGTGTGTACCGTACCCACATCATGACAATCCTGGCACAGCTTGACATGTGTGTGTACCGGACCCACAACATGACACCCTGGTACAGCTTGACTTATGTGTGTACCGTATCCACAACATGACAACCCTGGTACAGCTTGACATGTGTGTGTACCGTACCCACAACATGACAACCCTGGTACAGCTTGACATGTGTGTGTACCGTACCCACAACATGACAACCCTGGTACAGCTTGACCTGTGTGTGTACCGTACCGACAACATGACATAAACTATCCAAGAAATGTGGCGAAAAGTGTCATATTATGCCCTGACCAAGAGTTTAAAGACCATTGCTGTTGCCGTAGTGACCGTCGCTGTTGTCGTAGCTAGGTGCGGAGGTGCGGGGGTTGATGCCTCGCTCAAGATTTCCCCCCTTTTTAAACACTTCAAACTTGAGATTTTGCTAGACATTAGATTTGTGGAGTGCTACCGTTGACGTGAAGGGACCCAATGGGTTGGCGTGGTGAAGTCGCGGGTATGGTGAAGGTGAAGTCGTTGGCGCGGTATAATCATTAGAAATGTCTGTTCTTTATAAAGCAAAATTCTAGAAATTATTGCTATGGGAAACAACTCTGTCGTGGGTGAGGGACAATGTTCCCTTTAAGCTGTTTTGAGTACCGCGCAGCAGTTTTGAGCACCGCGTAGCAGTTTTGAGCACCGCGCAGCAGTTTTAAGTACCGCGCAGCAGTTTTGAGTACCGCGCAGCAGTTTTGAGTACCGCGCAGCTAATTTCCACTTAAGTGTGTGTTTGTGACTTAAGGCTGTAAAATTTGCGCGGAAAAAAAAATTGATGCTGTAAAAATTTGCACACAAATTTATGATTTTGCACACGAACCAACAACCTTAGAGGGAACATTGGTGAGGGTCGGGGTATTTGGTCCGCATAACCCCACATTCAAGGTCTAACTTAGCATTTAGAAATGGGTCGTTAAAGTTAAAACATTATAACAGTAAAATAATAATAATAATAACACCAGTCTTAACCAGCTGATTTATATTTATATAGCATTTTAACGACGATAAACACTTTTGTAAAGATCTGTAAATATGCAATGTTTAAAAAAAAAATCTACAGGGGTCCTTAAAACATGAATGGCCTTGACCCCTGGAATGCCTTTCTTGGAACTTTCTTACTTAAGTTTCGGCTAAATCCCGTATTAAATGAAACATGAATTAAAATATAGACGTTCATTTAATTATACCGGTACATTCTTTATTGCACACCAAAATGTCTCTGCAGTTTGAGAAACAGACAAACTGTACGTCGATCAAGGTAGAATAGCAGGGGCGTCATTTCAGGTTTTTTCAGATGGGGGGGGGGGACGACAAAACCAAAACTTGGTCGCCTTGTTAAGTTGTTTTATGACTGGGGGCGCCACATTACATAGTAATTTAAATAAAACCTGCAAATTGAAAAAAGGGGGGGGGGTTATGCCCTACCCAAAAGATGTCCCTGTAGAGTAGGGATCTGCGAAGTAGGAACCTCTGTGTCTTAGACAGCCTCAAGCAGTCGAAGTAGTCGATAAACTGAAGTGGCGTACGGTGCCGTTGCACCTCAAGCCCCAGTCGGTAAAGGTGCATGCGCACTGACTGATTGGACCAACAGGAGCCAGTGATATGTGATAGCAGTCTGGAATTTACTCTGACTTCGACACAATTCATCTGAATCAGAGAAAACCTCTCTGTCTCTGAGACAATCTCTCTCATTCTTAGACATTTTATTTTTGTAATTTTTACATTAATTTTAAAAAAAATATATCATTTATTCATTTTTTAAATGTGGGGTAGGGGGAATTATATCTCAGATCTGACTCCGTGAAAACACCTCTGTCTCTGATACAATCTCTCTGACTCCGTGAAAACATCTCTGTCTCTGAGACAATCTCTCTGACTCCTTGAAAACATCTCTGTCTCTGAGACAATCTCTCTGTATTTTTTTTTTAAATTCCGAGACACTATCTCCTACTCTGTTGACATTTCTCTCTTACTCTGTTGATAACTCCCTCTCCTACTCTGTTGATATTACTCTCCTACTCTGTTGATATTTCTCGAAATTTCATGGCGACGAGAATATTGTGTCAGGAAACACATTGCTCGTGATGTCATGACGACACTTGTTTTCACTTGTCCTCTTGGAAGGCTCTTAGCCGAAACTTTCTTCTATTATTGTCCTCACTTTATATTTCAAGCTTCCACACAGCTCACACAGCTTGAAGGCAGTCCTTCATTTAGTGCCAGGAGAAATACCGCGTGCTCCCCGTCGTCCTGAGCAAAGGACGGAGGCGTGCCCTGATCGGGTGCTTTACACACCAGAACACATATTCTATTTTAAACGTTTGGGAATAGTTTTTGTTGATTGTCGTGTATACTGCTCAAACAAATCTACTCCTGTGTGATTGCTGCTCTTAGTAATTTTTTTTTTTTTTAATTCAGATTTTAGAATAAAGAAAATTCTTACTTTCAAGTACTTTCTTATAAGCTTTATATTAGTCCACTGGTCATGGGCGCCCGCAAAAAATGGGGGGGCAAAAAAATCGATTAACTTTCGGGGGGGGGGGGGAATTTTTTAGTAATTTTTTAAAAATCAAAATTAAATGACATCGCATAAACATACCACTTGCTTGCGACAGGACATCAGCTTAGTTACTTTCTCTTTATTTTCTCTTTACTTTAATAATTTTTTTGTCTATTTTTGTCTAAAATTTTTTTATCCAATCAATCCAGGGGGGGGGGCAAGTGCCCCCCTTGCCCCTACCTGAGGGCGCCCATACCACTGGTCCCTTTTTCATATCAGACTTTTATATATATATACATAATACAGATTAAAAAGTAAATGCAGCTCATGGACTCCTGACATATTTTCAGGGACTTCTAAGGTGTCCGTGGACAACAGGTTAAGAATCCTTGATTTACTTACATAGATAAGTCATTGCCATTTCATTTGAGAATCACTGCCCTACTCAATGGAATCTGTGGTGCTGCCAAAAATTAACTCCAGGCTCCACATTGTACGACTATGTTTAACCCAGAGTGACAGATGGCCAGGACACAACATGACGACCCACTCAAAACAAGAAATACTGGTGTAGCAATGAGCGCAGGCCAAGAGATGATAACACAAGGCCGATAACCCTTGTTGTGGACCACTGTTGGTGAGTTTATGATATCGGTGAGCACAAGCTGACCCATTAACTCCAGGGAGATATGGTGGGTCTAATGCATGCTCATTAACCCCAGGGAGATATGGTGGGTCTGATGCATGCTCATTAACTCCAGGGAGATATGGTGGGTCTAATACATGCTCATTAACTCTAGGGAGATATGGTGGGTCTAATGCATGCTCATTAACCCCAGGGAGATATGGTGGGTCTAATGCATGCCCATTAACTCCAGGGAGATATAATAGGAATATTACAGACTCAATAATTTCAGTGCACTGTCCTACTTGGCACTGTCCTACTTGGCACTGTCATACTTGGCACTGTCATACTTGGCACTGTCCTACTAAGCACTGTCCTACTTGGCACTGTCCTACTTGGCACTTCCCTTCTTGGCACTGTCCTACTTGGCACTGTTCTTCTTGGCACTTTCCTACTTGGTACTGTCCTACTTGGCACTGTCCTACTTGGCACTGTCCTACTTGGCAAATCTCCGCTAAAAAAATATTCTCCCTTAGTCAACGATCTTCAAAATACAATTTTTTATGTGAACATATTCTTTGATCTTTTGATCTACCATTACATCTACTGGTCCATAGAAGCCCTTTCTTATATATATCCATATAATGTGCCTTCCACTCACATAAATCTTTTGTATACACCTCAATTGTTCCTCCTAATCCCGTATTGAATCCGCCTCCTTGAGTTACCACCAGTTCACAGACGGAATAGTTGGTGGTTTGTTTTTTAAATGATAAAATCAATAAAAGGAAATACAACGTTAAGTTCAAATCAAATATCCGTTTTCTGGGTGTCAGACCTACTTGACTTTGTCACGACGACAGATTTACTGGACTTTGTCACGACGACAGATATACTTGACTTTGTCACGACGACAGATTTACTGGACTCTTTCACAACGACAGATTTACTTGACTTTGTCACGACGACAGATTTACTTGACTTTGTCACGACGACAGATTTACTTGACTTTGTCACGAAGACAGATTTACTTGACTTTGTCACGACGACAGATTTACTTGACTTTTTCACGACGACAGATTTACTTGACTTTGTCACGACGACAGATATACTTGACTTTGTCACGACGACAGATTTACTTGACTTTGTCACGACGACAGATTTACTTGACTTTGTCACGACGACAGATTTACTTGACTTTGTCACGACGACAGATATACTTGACATTGTCACGACGACAGATTTACTTGACTTTTTCACGACGACAGATTTACTTGACTTTGTCACGACGACAGATTTACTTGACTTTGTCACGACGACAGATTTACTGGACTTTTTCACGACGACAGATTTACTTGACTTTGTCACGACGACAGATTTACTTGACTTTGTCACGACGACAGATTTACTTGACTTTGTCACGACGACAGATTTACTTGACTTTGTCACGACGACAGATTTACTTGACTTTGTCACGACGACAGATTTACTTGACTTTGTCACGACGACAGATTTACTTGACTTTGTCACGACGACAGATTTACTTGACTTTGTCACGACGACAGATTTACTTGACTTTGTCACGACGACAGATTTACTTGACTTTGTCACGACGACAGATATACTTGACTTTGTCACGACGACAGATTTACTTGACTTTGTCACGACGACAGATATACTTGACTTTGTCACGACGACAGATATACGTGACTTTGTCACGACAGACTTACTAAGACTTACTTGAATTTGTCACGACATACTAACTTGACTTTGTCACGACATACTTACTTGAATTTGTCAGGTCAAACTTACTTGACTTTTTCATGATAGACTTTACTTGACTTTGTCAGGACAGACTTATTTGACTTTATCATGACATACTTACTTGACTTTGTCACGACCACAAACTTACTCGACTTTGTCAAGACGGACTTATTTGGCTCTGTCACGATACTTACTTGACTCTGTCACAACAGACTTACTTGACGTTGTCACGATGTTATCTGCTAGCCGGGATTGAGAATCGGTTATAACTGATATAACCCTCCCCCCCCCCCCGATACCACTTATTTCCAAACGTTCTTAAAGGGCTATACGTGCGCTCCATGTATGAGAACCCTTGAACACACGTTTAATGCTACGCGCACAGAGTAAGTGGGTGGGGAATAAAAACCCTTCTAGAACAGTCTGTTGTCACGAGAAAAGTTGCACTTGACAAAGCCATTTGCTGGGCCCCACGTCGAGTGGTGGGGCGAGGCTGAGGACAGGTCACGGGATATAAAAAAAAAAATAAATAAAAAAATCTTTAGTAAAAATTTGGACTAGAAGGAAAAAAATCAAACACACAAGGTGGACCTACTTTACACTGACCACAGAGGCTGTCTTCGCCAAGAGAGGTAGTATTGACCAGCAGATAGTGCAATGGCCAACAGAAATTTGTGCTACTAGCTTCTGGGCTCATCTACCTGTAAGCCTTTATTATTGTGGACAAAACTCGATGCGTACCAAGTACCATGTTTGATGCGTACCATGTTTGATACAAACTCGGGTATGTGTGTATGTGTGCAGATATATTGGAATGATGAAAATTATATGTGGTGTATATATGCAGTGGACATTATATATCGTGCACATATATATTGTTGACATTATATGGTGTTTATATATATATATATATATATATATATATATTATATATATATGTATTGTGGACATTATATGTTGTTTATATATATTGTAGACATTTTATGGTGTTTATATATATGCTTATATTGTGGACATTATATTGCGTAAGTGGGTATATATATTGTGGAAATTATATTCTGTGTATATACATACTGTAGACATTATACGTCGTGTGTATGTATATTATGTGGACATTACATTTTTATGTTTACAGTTTTGTATTGTACAAAAAGAATGATGTTGTTTTTTATTTAAATGACTACTGTGAATAAGGGATTAGATAATCATGATCAATGACTGTTTTCCTTATATCAATTTCATCTTCAGAAAGTCTCCTCAAGTGAACTCTGATCTTGGACACACCAAAACCTCAAGCCACGGAACATCAGAAGAACAGCAGGCTAATGATGTCATCAAAACTCGTGTATCTATGTCACCGGAACAAGTCTAATGACGTCATCTAGACACGTGTAAATGATGTCCATCACTAAAGGGCAGCCGTCCGTGCTCCTCCTTCTGCCGTTCTCAAACAACAAAGTCCGGACGGATTCAAGTGAAACCGAAACGAACGAAGTCGTAACGCGGAAGTTCCCGATTCTGGCCGTTACCCGGACAAAGAACGACGCGCGATCAAAGAGCGCCCCTTCTTACGACGTCCTCGCCAACCAGCATTCACTGCGTCCAAGAAAAAGATTTCCGAAGGCTTCTTCGGAAAGAATCTCCATCGTTCGAACGCAAGGACACGAGAAAAAACCTTCAAATTTGAGAGCGAAATCTGAATACAGGATCAACTTAACCCCAAAGGGTAAACCGGAAACTGTGAGCATTTACATCAATGATATCAACGAACAAACAATTAGCAGAAACTTCGTGGAACTCGACAGTGACCCGACGCCAAGAACATACCTACTCGGTCCTTGCCGACTGAGCCAAAATAAAATCAGGTCTTTTCAAAAACCGGAATTTCAATCAGGACAAGGACCGAAATCAGAGTTGAACACCGGGCAAGGGCATTCACAAAAAGCAGACGTACACCTCTTGAGATCTAGTCCTAGTCCCGGAGAACTCGAACTGAACAAATTCAAGTTTACACCGGATCGCTTAGCGGGCTCTGAAGGTCCACAAAAGCCGCCAAGGCTTAAGCTAAACGTGAATCAATTGCCTCGCAGTAAAACTCCGATATCGGAGAACGATCCGGACAAATTAAACATCAAGCACGTGATCGCTTTTTTGGAAACCAGTGACCCGGATTTTGAGAGCGACGAATGCAAACACGAAAATCAGGGCACGGCGCTAATTGTGCCAGGGGCGAGCTTTCAACAGCCGAACCCTAATAATGTCAGTTTGGTTAATGAATCGAACAGTTCAGCGAAGAATGGCCAAAGACATGTTTTGATTACCCCTGATTCTGTTAATCTAGCCAACAATGCCACCACCAAACACGCTCTACTTCTCGGCAAACCGCACAAAGTGGCGCCTCATAGACACCCTCAAGTCAGGCCTAAATCATACGCCCCTGGTATTGTGGAAAAAAGTGATTGCCAAGAAAACCCCGTGGAAGGCACCCTAAAAGTTAGCGAAGGAGATTTCAAAGTCTCGACAGCGAACTCGGGCCAATTCGATAAACAAGAAAAGAGATTCAAATCTCACTCAGTGACGTCAGCAGGTCACCACCATCACCACCCTCACAAGCAGGGCAGTGACACGCTCAACGGGACGACGGCTGACAACAGACCGTTCAGACTTCATCGGTTCCTGACCCTGGTCCCCGGTGATCCCTCGTGCAAACATAAGCAGGTCAGCGACGAGCATGACACAATAACGTGCACAACGACAGAAGATTCTTTCAGTAAACTATTTCATTCAAGCGCCGAGGCGCATTCCTCTATGCACCATCTCACCAGCGAGGACCGCGCAGGTTTTAGAAGAAGTGAATCGGACAAGAAATTCAGTCCGACCAGACTCGATGCGGTCCACTTCTTGTCTCGGTTCAATGTCAGCAAGCAGCTGAGGCCACACTTACCTGATGTAGCACATCACGGCTCAGCGAGAGAGAGGACCAATGTCATATGCTTGCCCACCGCGCATTATGAGCCAGACTCTGACGAGGAGGGCTTACCCCCAGTGCCCATCAGTCGGAACAAAACAACATTCGCGACGACACACAGTCGAGACAACACAATGTTATCAATGAATCGGGACAACACAATGTTATCAATAAATCGAGACAAGATAATGCTGTCGACACAAGTTAGGGAGAATTCAATGTTGTCTACACTAGACATGGACCATTCAATGCTGTCGACACAAGACAGGAACAAGACAACGCTATCATCTCAAGATAGGGTCTTAGTCCTGAGGACAACTTGCAAAGACAATGATGAAATTGTCGGTCGGTCGAAGACATCATTAAGTAGATCCAGTAACGGGAGAGCTGATGCGAGTCTCCTGCGGCCGTCATCGGAGAAAATTCCCCCGAGCGCACCCACCCCATTTCAACACTCACATTTTACAGACACATACACAACCACTCAGGAATCGAACCCACACGCCTCAAACGGCACGTCTTCCTCCGTGACGTCTCTTCTACCAGATCAGAGTATGTACAACGGTAACCCGTTAGTGAAATGCCCCGTTTCAATTTCTACGCAGCAAGTTCTGAGCTACGTAACTACGTCATCGTCTCAGCTGCCCAGGGCTCGCGACACGGCATTTGTGACCCAGCACGGGTTAGACTCTCCAAAAGTGACCTCTCCAGCAGACGCGAACGACAGAGACAAATCGACGCTTCTTTATCGCTTTGATCAGCCGAAGAACTTAAAAGATTTCCCGCAGGAGCACATAAAATTGTCATTGCGGAAAGAACGGGACCGGCCCAGCGGACACACCTACATGACCGACATGGAAGGTTTCCCGGAGTGTCAAAATTAAAGCATTCCTCTAGTCACTTAGACAACTGTGTTGATTTGAAAAAAAAAGCCAAGCACGTAAATTCCAATTGTTAATCGATTGCTAAGCTCGTAAGTCTTAAAGGTTATTGTACCGAACACTTAATTATGTTCGAAAATAAATACATGAAAAAATTAGTTTTAATAAAATCTTGTTCGATATATTTTTGATGGGAGTTAGAACCTTGGCAAATAGCCTACAAAGACAAAAGTATCCCAGTGGGAGCCCCACAAAATGTATGGATGGCGGACAATTACTAATTAAGAAAAAAAATAAACAAACGAAATAATGGTAATATAAAGTCCCTCTTCTGAAAACGCAATTGGCGAAAATGACAAAGTCCTTTTTTGAAAACTTATTATCAATTTTATGATTTACATATTAATTAATTTTTTAAAACTTAACATCGACATAATAAGCGTATGGCATTGCGGACCGGGGTGCAGATCACATTGTATGTTAGTTTATATCCTTGCCCTACAGCAATTCCTTCCGAAACATATTCGTAGAATAGAAAGGATTAAAATTAAATAAATCAAACAACACCCAATGGAATGCGTAATGCTAACACGCTTCGAGTCTTGATAACACTGTCCAGGAGATCACACATTTAAAAAAAAAAAAACTGGATCACGGACCATATAAGCCAAATGGCACAATCAAAGTTGACTTAGTCTGAAACACTCGGTAAGTCTGGCCAATACAATGTCAAAAATGGACGTTCGTGGTGGGGGGAAAAAAATAAAAAAAAAGAAGAAAAGCTCTTCCCGGTAACTTGGCTTTTATTTGCCAGCACTGCTGTATAAGAGAGCTGTCAATGAGATTATACCGGTTGACGCTGTTGAACGCGTTTATTTTAGGGAGATAAGGAAAATTGAATGTCGCTGGGAGACATTTGATACCACTAGAGTAAAGTGACATCAGCAATAGAAAACTAAAGCAAAAAAAAAAAAAATGTTGGATTATTTTTTTTGGGGGGGGGGGGGCATACCCGTGAAGGGGCGAAATTGTTATTATTTTTTTAAAATGGACTTCCTCGGCACCATTAAAGTCACTTGTACTTGTATTTACGTTTGAAAATCACATCATTGTGTTGGCCAGAGGCACGTTTATCAGTGCAGGTCCATCTACTACATGTCCATGTTAAATCATATTGCAACCCACATAATTATCATAATATAATACGCCACCTATCTACTAGGGAAGGGACCCTACAGGGACTTTTCAAAAGTTCATTGCACTTGAGTTCCGCGTTATTATTATTAAACTATTGATCCATCGATCTCTGAGAAACTTTTTTTGTGTGGATACTTTAGTAAGGGCTAACTTGCTGAAAGGAACGACTGGCTCATTAAATCAAATTGTTACCTGTATATTGATCACATTGGTCCTTACTTAGTCCATGAAGAGATCGCAATGCGGGACCGGGACCCCCCTCACTGTATTTGGCTCAAACTTGTTACAGGATCAGACTGTTAGTATAGTCCAATTGTATTAGGTGAGTGCTGCCTTTTATTATGTCGTATGCATGGCTTGGAAATGAGCAAATTATTTCTTTGAGACTCGGAGGAATATCCCTACTCTCAGTGGGAATGATGCCCTTCTCTCAGTCTCAGTGGGAATGTTGCCCTACTCTTAATGGAACTGGTTAAAGTCCAAGGGAAATGCAAAGATAATACTGTATGGGAATGACACGCAAACATATAGACACCATAAATCAACATATAGAAACAATACACTAATGTATTGACTGACACCTATGATACACACCTACTTTATAGACACATTTTTTCGACATAAATTTATAGACAAATTTAAAGACATTTACAAACTCACCAACTCATTAACATCACAATGTTATACACCAAATATATACAGGCTGCAACACACCAAATATATAGACACTGAAATACACCAAATATATAGGCACTGCAATACAAATATATAGGTACTGAAATACACCAAATATATAGACACTGCAATACATCAAATTACACAATTACGATACATTATACACACATTTTTAGAACAATATTGTGCACTATAATTGTGAAAAATTCAAAGAAAAAATAAAATCAACAAATACCAGTTGATGTTTTTGGACATTTATTTGTTCATCTCTTTTGACAAAAAAGCTTTCAAAATATTTCAGGAAATAAAATAACATTATGGCGTTTCTCATGAGTCCTGACCCAAAACAATAGTCAAAGTCATGGCTTGGTTGGTTCCACCCCCCTCCCCACAATGCAACACTGACACAGATTTGGTAAATGAAGAAACACAGTTCTATTGACGATAATTCCCTGTTTCCGGGGGGATGCCGGGGAGGACACTGAAAACAACACTAATGTTATATCGTAAACCGACAGCTCAGCCAAATGATAGATATAGATACGTATCATCAAGTAATGGATAGCTAGCCATGGGGTGACATACAAGTCTGAGAGACGTTCACATGAGCAGCCACTGTTGGTGGCCAACTGAAAAAAAAAAGGGGGGGGGGGGTTTCAATAAAAAGTTTTTCTCATTTATTCTACCAAGGAGAACCCGTAATGCAAGCAAATGAAGTTGTACAAATGACCAGAGACTGACCGCTACATTAAACAAATGATTGAACGGTAATTTAAAATTACCTTGATAATTATGTCTGATTATGTAATTGAGCACTCCAAACAAGGGAAACAAAGTGGAAAATAATTAACATCTGAATCTGATAGAGTAATCTATAATCATCCATTTACCGGATGTGAGACAAGCAAAGTTTTTTCTCTCTATGGCGCTCAACAGTGACACACACTTTTTTAATTTTTATTATATTTTAAAAATAAAGCAATCAAATAATATTTAAGTACTGTCAGAAAATGAATAATACATATTTCAGTAAACGAATAATACTTATATATTACCGTAAACGAATAATACTTATATATTACCGTAAACGAATAATACATATTTGTCAGTAAACTATTAATACATATTATTGTAGTAAACTAATAATAATAAATTATTTCAGTAAACTAATAATACATATTATTTAGGCTAACGCCTTGAATTACTGTTTTTCTAAGGAAGTTAAATTCGGGACCCATACCTCATCTGTAAGTATAAGAAATTAAGCATTTATTCAGGTCTATCTTTGCCCACCAGAGTTACTTGAATCAAGGTAAGGATGATGATGTATGCTTGTGTAGCACCAATGCTACACAATACATCTTAGAAATAGCCGATTCAGATTTAAGATAACCAGCTGGGGCAGCCATGGACTAGCACTAGCAAGGTGGTGAAATAACTTCTGTTAACTAAAAATCATGTATCCTCACCATAAATGAGACATAAGTCCAAGGGCAGAGCAAATGAGAGAAACATGATTTATAATGCGTTTTGTGTGCTCCATTTAAAAAGAAACAAAATATGGTACAGTTAAAAAATGCATGTTAAATCTATGAATTAGAAATCAAACAAATCAGATGAGATATATTATGTTGATAATAGAATTTACACATAAAAAACAATTCAGCTGACTTATATTTACAAGTTTTTAAATATGTGACCTGTTAGGCTGAGCTTTAGCTAATTAACAAGATAAAAACTATAAAAAGATGAATTGAACATGAAGCATGATTCACCTGGCAAAGAGTTAAGTTGTTAAAGGAAACTTCATGAATGCTAATTACTTCCCTAAAAACTAACAAAAAAAATTAAAAAATATACATACACAATTTAAAAAAAAAAAGAAGTATTGATTAAAATTCATTATTAAAGGTGGTATTAAAAAAAAAAGTTTTTATGGATTGATCAACAAACCCATTTTAAAAGATAAAATTTGATAACTTTCTTAATATATGAAATGCCAGATTTGGTCTGGAAGATTCGGTCCTGACACATTTCTTAGCTTTGAATGAATTGACCTGAGAGGTTGAAATCAAGTGTAAGCTTGTTCAGAAATGATATTCAAGCTTACGTTAAAATATGATATTCAAGCTAACGTTTCTATGGCGGTGTGCCTGAACTAAGAGCGCCGACCACTGAATTAACAATCCAGTATCAAGGATTTTGTAAACACTGAAAGACAAGTATTTGACAGAAGAAAAAAGAAATCGAGACAGGAAATAAAAATAAGAAGAAAGGGAGAGCGAGTTTGTCATGAGGTATAAAACCAGATTGAGCCCAGAAAAGAAAAAAAAAAGGAATTGATGTGGGGTGGGGTGTTTTGGTTAAATCAAAATGTCAACGTTTTAGCAGGAATAAATAAATGACAGCGCATCAGCAGTGTTGTGTACATGGACAACACTGTAAAAATTATTAAATGAGGGTTCTTTCAAGGGTTTATAGTCATAGATGATGCGACGCTGATTGATGAATGAAGTTAAAATTACGTTACGAAAAAAATACCCTAGTATTAAGGATTCTGCTAAGACTATCATATGAGGGATCCTAGCATTAATCATTCTAATAAGCTGATCATAAGTTGGCATCAAAAAAAGGGAAAAACAATCGGTGGAAATAGATGTTTCACCAATAATGAAATTTTAAATCCACGGAGACAAAAAACAACAACAACACAGCACAACAAACGGACAATTACAAAGCAACAGTACAAGTGCTCATTACAAATACATTAAACCCACAAATTCTCTTTTATCAAGTCTTTCACTTGACCTACATTTGATTTTAAATTTGTCTTGAGATCAAACTTTGACCTTGAAAACCCAGCCATGGTCAAATGAAAATACATTATTCAGCCATATAGTTACAGGACACAAAAAAAACCCAAAAAACTAACTCTTTTATATCTCTAGAAATGGCGTCAAAAGATTGGAGACTCCACAACATTTTCACATGAAATATGGAAATGTAAAGGAACATGATTAATTCAACGCTCATATCCAAATTATTGTCATTCAACAGTGTTGTATACACAAACTAAGACCCGAAGTAAAAAAAAGTGAAATGCTTTAGGAGACACCCTTTAAGATGTGGGATTGATTGAGAGGAGAGTAACAATTTTAGCAAAAGGGCAACTGAAGCATTTGGCACCATGAGTTGAGTTCTTGATTAGGAAATTCTGAAATGTTAAAGTGCTAAACAATTAGACATTCATCAAAGTACTGGCTAACATTCACT